CTGTTCAAGTTCTGTTCTAGTTCTGTTCTAGTTCTGTTCTAGTTCAGTTCTAGTTCTGTTCTACTTCTGTTCTAGTTCTGTTCTAGTTCTGTTCTAGTTCTGTTCTAGTTATGTTCTAGTTCTGTTCTAGTTCTGTTCTAGTTCTGTTCTAGTTCTGTTCTAGTTCTGTTCTAGTTCTGTTCTAGTTCTGTTCTAGTTCTGTTCTAGTTCTGTTCTAGTTCTGTTCTAGTTCTGTTCTAGTTCTGTTCTAGTTCTGTTCTAGTTCTGTTCTAGTTCTGTTCTAGTTCTGTTCTAGTTCTGTTCTAGTTCTGTTCTAGTTCTGTTCTAGTTCTGTTCTAGTTCTGTTCTAGTTCTGTTCTAGTTCTGTTCTAGTTCTGTTCTAGTTCTGTTCTAGTTCTGTTCTAGTTCTGTTCTAGTTCTAGTTCTGTTCTAGTTCTGTTCTAGTTCTGTTCTAGTTCTGTTCTAGTTCAGTTCTAGTTCAGTTCTAGTTCTGTTTTAGTTCTGTTCTCGTTCTGTTCTAATTCTGTTCTACTTTTTCAAGTTATAGTTTTATTCTTTAGCATCTTTGTAAATGCCGCCATTGCGGCTTTATTTGTTTTATTTATTAATAAAAAGAAATCTTAATTAGTTTAGCTAAAACTCACGTTAATTTCATTTAGAATAGTGACACAAACAAACCCTTAATTTGTTTTAATTGCTTAAAAATCGTTATTTAAATGACAATTAATTTTAAATCTTTAATAACTAACAGCTAGTATGTAATTGTATTTTAAAACACACTGTACATAACGTTCTATCGCATCAACGGTATCAAATTTTCTTAAAACCAATCTATTTATCTTTTTTTTATACATTTTCTTTGCATTTCTTTGGAAATGCAATATTTATAGCTAAAAACGAAACTGCCATATAATAATTGTGAGTCAAATAATTTTCAATTGTTTCTAATCTGTTTGGCGAGATGTGGCTGCAAACAAAAAATAAAAATTCGTATCAAAAAATGTGCAACTTATAAAAAAAAAAAAAAAAATATTTTCAACTGTTTTGTATACATTTCCGAAATAATATATAAATAACAACAAATAATTGAAGGTGTATTGTAGATTTCTCTCTAAATGAAATCGGCACGCGATTCAATTGTTGGGTTCAATTTAGATAATGCCTCCACCACCATCCACCATTCATCCATACTTAGCCACAAAAAAAAAAACTGACCACAAAACAACAACAAAAACAAGCAAAATGAAATGACAGACAAATGGTATTTATACCCTACACCACTTTAGTGGGGAGGGTATATTGGGTTTGTGCTGATGTTTGTAACGTACAATAATTTTGGTCCTATACCCACCTTAAAGTATACCAATCGGCTCAGAATCATTTTCTGAGTCGATTTAGCTATGTCCGTCCGTCTGTCCGTCCGTCTGTCCGTCCGTCCGTCTGTCCGTCCGTCCGTCCATGTAAACCTTGTAATCAAACTACAGGTCGCAATTTTGAAGATAATTCAATGAAATTTGGTACATGATCTTCTATTGCCCTAGGGACGAAGCCTATTGAAAATGGTTAACATCGGTCCATTATTTCACCTAGCCCCCATACAACTGAACCCCTCGAATAGGGCTTTTAAAACTTGTAATCAAACTACAGGTCGCAATTTCGGAGATAATTCAATGAAATTTGGCACATGATCTTTTATGGTACCGCAGATGAAGCCTGTTGAAAATGGTTTGCATCGGTCCATTATTTCACCTAGCCCCCATACAACTGAACCCCTCGAATAGGGCTTTTAAAATTTGTAATCAAACTACAGGTCGCAATTTTGGAGATAATTCAATGAAATTTGGCACATGATCTTTTATGGTATTGTAGACGAAGTCTGTTGAAAATGGTTAACATCGGTCCATTATTTCACCTAGCCCCCATACAACTGAACCCCCGAATAGGGCTTTTAAAACTTGTAATCAAACTACAGGTCGCAATTTTGGAGATAATTCAATGAAATTTGGCACATGATCTTTTATGGTACCGTAGATGAACGGTTTACATCGGTCCATTATTTCACCTAGCCCCCATACAACTGAACACGCCGAATAGGGCTTTTAAGTTCATAATTATGTTTAATATACTCATATCTCGACAAAAAGCTGCAATAACCAAGTTGTATACAAGACTTGATGACCCCCACGAATTCCATAATAATAGGTTCTCATATGACCCTAGCCCCTATAAAAAGCCCCCATCAAAATTTCACTTAAATGTCCACAATTTCATTCATAAACGGCTTAAGTATGTATATCTAAGGCAAGGTACAATTCAACTTAAATGCTTTATTATGTCAACTAAATCACATTATATTTTTGTCAAAGGTGTAGGGTATTATATGGTCGGCCTCGCCCGACTATAATTTCTTACTTGTTTTTTTTTCAATTTGATCATTATCACATCATCTTAGTAAAATATTTATGACAAAAAAATTTGTGGGAAGTGTAAGGAAATGTTTTTGAAGAGTTGCTAGATACCCTACGATTTATAGTATAAATTTAGTTCTAGCTATCATTTAAGAAAACTGACTGTACATAAAATTGGCGATTTGTTATAGTCATAAATATTTTATTACAATTTTAATGTTAAATAAAAAATGAATTGCTCTAGATAAGTGTGAACTGTGAACGATCAGCCTGAACTGTAAATAAAACTATAAGCTAGTCTTGAGATCAGTCAATAGATCTATAGACTATATAGACAGTCTGAACTATAGATCAGTTTACAGTCTGGATTAAAACTATAGTCTGGACTATAGATCAGTCTATAGTGTGGACTATAGATTAGTCTATAGTCTGGACTATAGAGCCTTCTATAGACTGGACTATAGATCATTCTATAGTCTGGGCTATAGATCATTCTATATTCTGGACTATAGATCAGTATATAGTCTGGACTATAGATCGGTCTACAGTCTGGACTATAGATCGGTCTACAGTCTGGACTATAGATCGGTCTATAGTATGGAATATAGATCGGTCTGTAGTCTGAACTATTGATCTCTCTATAGTCTGGACTATAGATCAGTCAATAGCCAGGACTATAGATCAGTCTATAGTCTGGACTACAGATCAGTCTATAGTCTGGACATCAGATCAGTCTATAGTCTGGACTATAGATCAGCCTATAGTCTGAACTATAGATCAGTCTATAGTTTGGACTATAGATCAGTCTATAGTCTGGACTATAGATTAGTTTGGACCATAGATTAGTCTATAGACTGGACTATGGATTAGTCTATAGTCTGGACTATAGATCAGTATATAGACTGGACTATAGACCAATCTATAGTCTGGACTATAGATCAATCTATAGTCTGGACTATAAATCAGTCTATAATCTGGACTATAGATCAGTCTATAATCTGGACTAAAGATCAGTCTAAATTCTGAAATATAGATTGGTCTATAGTCTGGACTACAGATCTGTCTATAGTCTGGACTATAGATCAGTCTATAGTCTGGACTATAGATCAGTCTATAGTCTGGACTATAGATCAGTCTATAGTCTGGACTATAGATTAGTCTATAGTCTGGACTATAGATTAGTCTATAGTCTGGACTATAGATCATTCTATAGTCTGGACTATAGATCAGTCTATAGTCTGGATTTTAGATCAGTCTATAGTCTGGACTATAGATAAGTCTATAGTCTGGACTATAGATCAGTCCATAGTCTGGACTATAGATCAGCCTATAGTCTGGACTATAGATTAGTCTATAGACTGGACTATGGATTAGTCTATAGACTGGACTATGGATTAGTCTATAGTCTGGACTATAGATCAGTATATAGACTGGACTATAGATCAGTCTATAGTCTGGACTATAGATCAGTCTATAGTCTGGACTATAGATTAGTCTATAGTCTGGACTATAGATTAGTCTATAGTCTGGACTATAGATTAGTCTATAGTCTGGACTATAGATCATTCTATAGTCTGGATTATAGATCATTCTATAGTCTGGACTTTAGATCAGTCTATAGTCTGGACTATAGATCAGTCTATAATCTGGACTATAGATCAGTCTATAGTCTGGACTATAGATCAGCCTATAGTTTGGACTATAGATCAGTCTATAGTCTGGACTATAGATTAGTCTATAGTCTGTACTATAGATAGGTCTATAGTCTGGTCTATAGATCAGTCTACAGTCGGAACTATGGATTAGTCTATAGTCTGGACTATAGATCAGTCTATAGGCTGGAATATAGATTAGTCTAAACTATAGATCAGTCTATAGTATGGACTATAGATAAGACTATAATCTGGACTATAGGTCAGTCTGAAGACTGGACTTAAGATCAGTCTAAAGTCTGGACTATAGAATATATAAAGATTGGTCTATAGTCTGGACTATAGATCAGTCTACAGTCTAAACTATAGATGAGTCTATAGTCTAAACTATAGATAAGTCTATATTATGGACTATAGATCAGTCTATAGTCTGGTCTATAGCCTAGACTATAGATAAGTCTTATCTATAGACTAGGCTATAGATAAGTCTGTAATCTGGTCTATATATCAGTCTAAAGTCTGGACTATAGATTAGTCTATAGTCTTTCTATAGTCTATAGTCTGGACTATAGATCAGTCTATAGTCTGGACTATAGATCAGTCAATAGTCTGGACTATAGATCAGTCTATAGTCTGGACTATAGATCAGTCTTTAGTCTGGACTATAGATCAGTCTATAGTCTGGACTATAGATCAATCTGTAGCCAAGACGATAAATCACTATATAGTGTGTAGGGTATTGATATTTAGTTACGTCTGGTAAAGCAGTTTTTTATATAAATTACATGTATTTGTATAGTTGTCATTTTGTGTATTTCTATGTTAGTATTTGTTTTGGATAACTGAAAAAACTAAAACTATAACAAAAAAAAGATGAATATCTTTATTATCACCAGTATTATCTTGTCCAAGCTATTCCAGCCAGTGATAATTCAATGTATGTAGTTTTTTCCTTAGATTTGTTAGTTTATTCAATGAATAACTACTTAAGCATACGGTTGCAAAATTAAAAAATACAAATACTTAAAAGTAATAAAAATAATAAATAAATAAAATATAAAAAAATTCCCAAAATAAAGAAAACATATTAATTACAAAATCCAACAACTATTAAGCAAACAAAAACGAAAACAAAAATCTACATAAATAACCGCTGGTATCCTGTCATTTATTAATGAAATTAATAAATTTATGCAAATTTCTCTTAAATAATAAAAAGAAATTTTAAGTGTCTTATAACAATTTAGTAACAATTATAACAACGAAGTGTGAAATAAGAAAATTAAATTCAACGAATTGAAAAAAATAATAATAATAATAAAAATCACTGGAAATGTTAATACCTCTAACGCCTTTGCTTTTAAAAATGTTTAATGTTTAGAAAATAATAAAATAATAAAATTTAATGTTACAATTCAAGAAAATAAAAAGAAGAATCCTGTAGTGACCGGTTATTAAAAGAAAAATTAATAAAATAGTAAAAATTATGAAAATTCTACAACTTAAAAGGAGTGAGATGATTTGAAATTTTGTTGCTTTTCCTTTCTTTTGGTTTCTGTTCGATTTTTATTTTATTTTTATAACGGCAAATTTTTTATTGGTCCCAAACCCAAACAATAATGTTAGACCGTTATACGAATCTGGTATTTTCATTTGGATTTGGTGTCATACTAATGTGGTAAGTTTAAAAATGAAACAATTAATAATTTGAGATCTGGTTCAGTTCTAGTCCGATATAGCTCTGTTATCTTCTAGTTCTGTTCTAGTTATGTTCTAATTCTGTTCTAGATTCTGTTCTAGTTCTGTTTTCTGTTCTAGTTCTGTTCTAGTTCTGTTCTAGTTCTGTTCTAGTTCTGTTCTTAGTTCTAGTCTGTTCTAGTTCTGTTCTAGTTCTGTTCTAGTTCTGTTCTAGTTCGTTCTAGTTCCGTTCTAGTTCCGTTCTAGTTCGTTTCTAGTTCTGTTCTAGTTCTGTTCTAGTTCGTTCTAGTTGTTCTAGTTTGTTCTAGTTCTGTTCTAGTTCTGTTCTGTTCTCTTCTAGTTCTGTTCTAGTTCTGTTCTAGTTCTGTTCTAGTTCTGTTCTAGTTCTGTTCTAGTTCTGTTCTAGTTCTGTTCTAGTCTGTTCTAGTTCTGTTCTAGTTCTGTTCTAGTTCTGTTCTAATTCTGTTCTAGTTCTGTTCTAGTTCTGTTCTAGTTCTGTTCTAGTTCTGTTCTAGTTCTGTTCTAGTTTATTCTAGTTCTGTTCTAGTTCAGTTCTAGTTCTGTTCTATTTGTTCTAGTTCTTATAGTTTGTTCTAGTTCTGTTCTAGTTCTGTTCTAGTTCTGTTCTAGTTCTGTTCTAGTTCTGTTCTAGTTCTGTTCTAGTTCTGTTCTAGTTCTGTTCTAGTTCTGTTCTAGTTCTGTTCTAGTTTCGGTTCTAGTTCTGTCTAGTTCTGTTCTAGTTCTGTTCTAGTTCTGTTCTAGTTCTGTTCTAGTTCTGTTCTAGTTCTGTTCTAGTTCTGTTCTAGTTCTGTTCTAGTTCTGTTCTAGTTCTGTTCTAGTTCTGTTCTAGTTCTGTTCTAGTTCTGTTCTAGTTCTGTTCTAGTTCTGTTCTAGTCTGTTCTAGTTCTGTTCTAGTTCTGTTCTAGTTCTGTTTCTAGTTCTGTTCTAGTTTCTGTTCTAGTTCTGTTCTAGTTCTGTTCTAGTTCTGTTCTAGTCGTTCTAGTTCTGTTCTAGTTTCTGTTCTAGTTCTGTTCTAGTTCTGTTCTAGTTCTGTTCTAGTTCTGTTCTAGTTCTGTTCTAGTTCTGTTCTAGTTCTGTTCTAGTTCTGTTCTAGTTCTGTTCTAGTTCTGTTCTAGTTCTGTTCTAGTTCTGTCTAGTTCTGTTCTAGTTCTGTTCTAGTTCTGTTCTAGTTCTGTTCTGTTCTAGTTCTGTTCTAGTTCTGTTCTAGTTCTGTTCTAGTTCTGTTCTATCTGTTCTAGTTCGTTAGTTCTGTTCTAGTTCTTTTCTAGTTGTTCTGTTTGTTCTAGTCTGTTCTAGTTCTGTTCTAGTTCTGTTCTAGTTCTGTTCTAGTTCTGTTCTAGTTCCGTTCTAGTTCTGTTCTAGTTCTGTTCTAGTTCTGTTCTAGTTCTGTTCTGTTCTAGTTCTGTCTCTAGTTCTGTCTAGTTTTTCTAGTTCTGTTCTAGTTCTGTTCTAGTTCTGTTCTTAGTTCTGTTCTAGTTCTGTTCTAGTTCTGTTCTAGTTCTGTTCTAGTTCTGTTCTAGTTCTGTTCTAGTTCTTATCTAGTTCTATTCTATTTAAAATATGCTTATTCAAAAACTTTTTTAAATTTATGTAAAATAAGCTTATTCAAAAACTTTTTAAAAGGACGTAAAAACAACCGCTTTATTCATAATTACTATTTCAAATGGACGTTTCGTTTCTATATAAAGAAAAGACAAAAAGGTCAACGAACAATTTGGCACAAACAAACATATAGCTTAACAATGTTGGCTCGTTATTACAGGAAAACCTCAAACCTTTAGCTACTAACTAGTAGCCCCCACCACCAACTTTTTAACTGTGTTAAAATGTTGGAAAAGAAACCCCAATTTATGATACAACAAGACATTATTACCATTTTTCGCAAACAAACAAAATAGTCACGAAAATTATATTGTTTTTTTTTTTTTTGCAAAATAAAATTATAATAAAAAAATAGTATAATAAACAAAGGTGAATATAGAATAAAATCGATAATTCTTAGACCTAGATAAGTTTAAAAATAAATATCAAACAGTTGACAAACAGTACTCAAGGTTAACAAAATCCTAACTTTATTTAATGTTACCTTAGCACGGAATTCATATTTATACAAAATAAAAAAAACACAAAAAACATATTGTATACAATAGTGAATTAAATACTTATTACAAATATTTATCAGAGTATGTGTGAAGATTTACAACAGTAAATGGAATGTTAATTGTTGAAGATATATACATAAATACATACATACAAAATAAACTGGAACTTAAAATATCTCTGATGGAAAGAGAAAATTTAGACAGAAGTGGTCTATCCACTAGTTGATGGCTTGATCTGTAGATTGCAACAGAACAGAACTAGAACAGAACTAGAACAGAACTAGAACAGAACTAGAACAGAACTAGATCAGAACTAGAACAGAACTAGAACAGTACTAGAACAGAACTAGAACAGAACTAGAACAGAACTAGAACAGAACTAGAACAGAACTAGATCAGAACTAGAACAGAACTAGAACAGAACCAGAACAGAACCAAAACAGAACCAAAACTGAACCAGAACAGAACTAGAACAGAAGTAGAACAGAAGTAGAACAGAAGTAGAACAGAAGTAGAACAGAAGTAGAACAGAAGTAGAACAGAACTAGAACAGAACTAGAACAGAACTAGAACAGAACTAGAACAGAACTAGAAAAGAACTAGAACAGAACTAGAACAGAACTAGAACAGAACTAGAACAGAACTAGAACAGAACTAGAACAGAACTAGAACAGAACTAGAACAGAACTAGAAACAGAACTAGAACAGAACTAGAACAGAACTAGAACAGAACTAGAACAGAAACAGAACTAGACAGAACAGAACTAGAACAGAACTAGAACAGAACTAGAACAGAACTAGAACAGAACTAGAAACAGAACTAGAACAGAACTAGAACAGAACTAGAACAGAACTAGAACAGAACTAGAACAGAACTAGAACAGAACTAGAACAGAACTAGAACAGAAACTAGAACAGAACTAGAACAGACCTAGAACAGCACTAGAACAGAACTAGACAGAACTAGAACAGAACTAGAACGGAACTAGAAAGACCTAGAACAGAACTAGAACAGAACTAGAACAGAACTAGAACAGAACTAGAACGAACTAGAACAGAACTAGAACAGAACTAGACAGAACTAGAACAGAACTAGAACAGAACTAGAACAGAACTAGCACAGAACTAGAACAGAACTCGAACAGAACTAGAACAGAACTAGAACAGAACTCGAACAGAACTAGAACAGAACTAGAACAGAACTAGAACAGAACTAGAACAGAACTAGAACAGAACTAGAACAGAACTAGAACAGAACTAGAACAGAACTAGAACAGAACTAGAACAGAACTAGAACAGAACTAGAACAGAACTAGAACAGAACTAGAACAGAACTAGAACAGAACAGAACTAGAACTAGAACGAACTAGAGAACTAGAACAGAACTAGAACAGAACTAGAACAGAACTAGAACAGAACTAGAACAGAACTAGAACAGAACTAGAACAGAACTAGAACAGAACTAGAACAGAACTAGAACAGAACTAGAACAGAACTAGAACAGAACTAGAACAGAACTAGAACAGAACTAGAACAGAACTAGAACAGAACTAGAACAGAACTAGAACAGAACTAGAACAGAACTAGAACTGAACTAGGACTGAACTAGAACTGAACTAGAACTGAACTAGAACTGAACTAGAACTGAACTAGAACTGAACTAGAACTGAACTAGAACTGAACTAGAACTGAACTAGAACTGAACTAGAACTGAACTAGAACAGAACTAGAACAGAACTAGAAAAGAACTAGAACAGAACTAGAACAGAACTAGAACAGAACTAGAACAGAACTAGAACAGAAATAGAACAGAACTAGAACAGAACTAGAACAGAACTAAAACAAAACTAGAACAGAACTAGAACAGAACTAGAACAGAACTAGAACAGAACTAGAACAGAACTAGAACAGAACTAGAACAGAACTAGAACAGAACTAGAACAGAACTAGAACAGAACTGGAACAGAACTAGAACTGAACTAGAACTGAACTAGAACTGAACTTGAACTGAACTTGAACTGAACTAAAACTGAACTAGAACTGAACTAGAACTGAACTAGAACTGAACTAGAACTGAACTAGAACTGAACTAGAACTGAACTAGAACTGAACTAGAACTGAACTAGAACTGAACTAGAACTGAACTAGAACTGAACTAGAACTGTACTAGAACTGAACTAGAACTGAACTAGAACTGAACTTGAACTGAACTAGAGCTGTCTAAAGACTAAACTATATTCTGTAACAAAATATTTATTCAATAATTTCTTTAAGTGTGCGTATAATTTACATACTTAGCACATAAATTACCTAAGTCATAAAATTTTAATTATGAAATATTTGCTCATAAAGCATTTGTATTCTATTTGAACAATTTATGACACATTAAGATAAATTAAATCACAAAACCATTGTTTAAAATAAAGTAATAGCAATATTTCTCTTTTGATTTTAGGTTAACCGAATCTACGGAAGCCAATGTAAATTATACAGCAAAACCAAGAGTGGTATTACCGCCTAATTATGTCAAGGGTAAGTTTTCTTTACATTACTTTAAGGGGGAAATGATAAATTTTTGCTATCATATACATATGAATGAGTGTATGACGTGTGAACAAAAATAACTAATAATTACCTCAAGTACAAAATGAGTATTTTAAAATTTATTATGCCTCCAACTAAAAATTTCAAGTTTAAGTTTTTTTTATTAAGCTGTGTGGAGATATTGATTTTAAAATGTGTGTAAATGCATAATCTAAAAAATAAAACACAAAAAAATTAGGAATTTAACAAATTTGCATTGAACTTGACACTGCCACTCAAGGACTTTTTAATGCAACAATATACAACACACAAAAACACTTGTCGTTTACACTTTTACTCCCAAGCAACACACACACTCAAAGGATTTACAGGGACACCCCAAAAATGAAAAAAAAGGAAACTTACAATCAACAAAAAAAGAGTTGTACGATCTGTGATAATGACTGTTAACACGAATACTTTGGCAAATCACTGTTTATTTATGTATTTGCTTTGTTCTGTTTTGTTTTGTTTTGCTTTTATTTTCATTTTGTTATTGTAAGAGGACACGTGAAATTTACACCTACAACTTAACACCCACCTCGTAACACACACACACACCAATACGGACTATTTGTTTTACAGCAACAATAAATTCAGTGCAAAACTGTTATTGATTTTTGTTGTCAGCAAATAGAGTGAAAGAGAGAGTAATACAAAACACGAGCCAGCCATGTGTTTGTGAATACCAGGGTCATGTTTTGTTAAATTTCCGTTTCCTTTCTCTACGTGAACCGGTATTTTCTTCATTTAAATTCTCTTATAGTTTACAATTAATTCATTTTAAATTAATGTTTGTTTAGTAAATAATTTAATTAATTAATTTTTCTTTCTTTTGCAGAAATACGGCCACCTTCAAGGAAGGGTTCTCCAGTTATAGTAGATTTTAGTATTTTTGTTGTAGATATAAATTCAATCAATGTAGAGGATATGGACTTTCGGTAGGTTTTTTTAAATAAATTAATTAAAAACTAAATGAACCCTACGAACGGACTAGACTAGAGACAGGACTACTGATTATCTATAGTCTTCACTATGGACTAGTATATACACTGGACTATAGTTTCGTTTATGCTCTGGACTGTAGCCTCGTCTATACTCTGGGCTATAGACTAGTCTATACTCTGGAATATAGACTAGTCTATACTCTAAACCATAGACTAGTCTATACTCTGAACTATAGACTAAACTATACTCAGGACTAGGAACTAATCTATACTCTGGACTAGGAACTAGTGTATACTATGGACTAAAGGCTAGTCAATACTCTGGATTATAGACTATTCTACACTCTACACTATAGACTATTATATACTCTACACTATAGACTAGTCTATACTCTACACTATAGACTAGTCTATACTCTACACTATAGACTAGTCTATACTCTACACTATAGATTAGTCTATACTCTGGACTATAGAGTAGTCTATACTCTGGACTATAGACTAGTCTATACTCTGGACTATAGACTAGTCTATACTCTGGACTATAGACTAGTCTATACTCTGGACTATAGACTAGTCTATACTCTGGACTATAGACTAGTCTATACTCTGGACTATAGACTAGTCTATACTCTGGACTAATAGACTAGTCTATACTCTGGACTATAGACTAGTCTATACTCTGGACTATAGACTAGTCTATACTCTGGACTATAGACTAGTCTATACTCTGGACTATAGACTAGTCTATACTCTGGACTATAGACTAGTCTATACTCTGGACTATAGACTAGTCTATACTCTGGACTATAGACTAGTCTATACTCTGGACTATAGACTAGTCTATACTCTGGACTAGACTAGTCTATACTCTGGACTATAGACTAGTCTATACTCTGGACTATAGACTAGTCTATACTCTGGACTATAGACTAGTCTATACTCTGGACTATAGACTAGTCTATACTCTGGACTATAGACTAGTCTATACTCTGGACTATAGACTAGTCTATACTCTGGACTATAGACTAGTCTATACTCTGGACTATAGACTAGTCTATACTCTGGACTATAGACTAGTCTATACTCTGGACTATAGACTAGTCTATACTCTGGACTATAGACTAGTCTATACTCTGGACTATAGACTAGTCTATACTCTGGACTATAGACTAGTCTATACTCTGGACTATAGACTAGTCTATACTCTGGACTATAGACTAGTCTATACTCTGGACTATAGACTAGTCTATACTCTGGACTATAGACTAGTCTATACTCTGGACTATAGACTAGTCTATACTCTGGACTATAGACTAGTCTATACTCTGGACTATAGACTAGTCTATACTCTGGACTATAGACTAATCTATACTCTGGACTATAGACTAGTCTATACTCTGGACTATAGACTAGTCTATACTCTGGACTATAGACTAGTCTATACTCTGGACTATAGACTAGTCTATACTCTGGACTATAGACTAGTCTATACTCTGGACTATAGACCAGTCTATACTCTGGACTATGGACTAGTCTATACTCTGGACTATAGACTAGTCTATACTCTGGACTATAGATTAGTCTATACTCTGGACTATAGATTAGTTTATACTCTGGACTATAGACTAGTCTATACTCCGGACTATAGACTAGTCTATACTCTGGACTATAGACTAGTCTATACTCTGGACTATAGACTAGTCTATACTCTGGACTATAGACTAGTCTATACGCTCGACTATAGGCTTGTCGATACTCTGGACTTATCAAAATTCTGGATTAATCAAAATTTTTACTAATAATTCTGTTTTTCTTTCATTTAGAGTAGATATGTTTATACATCAAAAATGGTTAGAATCCAGATTAGAAATATCCGATGACATTTTCGAAGAAGGAGACGATTATGTAACATTACTTCCAGAATTTTCGATAATCTTTGGCAACCTGACCCTTACTTTCTCAATTCAAAAATAGCTGGTAATTTTTTTTCTAGCATATTTATGAAAAATTTTCAAAAAACTATCTTGCCCAACAAACGCCATTTTTGCATTAAGCTTAATTTTGTTTATAATTTATTAAATGTTACGATAAAAGGCAAATAAACTATTTTATATATATATATTTAACTGTTAAAATGTGGGTAGTGTTTATTTTATTATAAGCCAAAAAAAAAGAAGAAGAACCACCATCATTCCTACATTTATTTTATATATTATAACTATTATTTCTCTATTCATTTTGTAATGGTTACCAAATTGATTAATTTTTCATTTTCTTTTTTTAACATTTTTTATTTGAAATATTTTTTCAAAACGAAAATATTTACAAAAAAATATAATAAAATCTAACCAATAAAAATAACCACGACCTCCACCACTAACCAACACTAATATGAACTAAAATCTAATGAAAAAACAACGCCTCTCTACAACAACTTAAAATAATAATAAAACTATAATGAAAACCTAAAAACAAATTAATCGAAAACCTATAAATAATATGTCTCTGCCTAACCAAACCATTACTAGGATTCGGAAGTCCATATGTTCCATCAACTTCTCTGCTACGCGACAAACATGACAGAGAGAAGAAAAATTTCCATCTAAACAAAACTTTAAGTATACACAATAAATAATTAACTAAATAAATATGTAAATTAAAATAAAATGATTTCTCAATATTCAATACAATCAATCAATCAACTCAAATGCATATTTGTCCAACAACAACAAAAAAAGCGTTAATTATCAATCATCATTCAAATATTCTTTCATCTATATAATTTTTTTGGGGGAGATGTACAAAACCAAATCATTAATTAAAACCAACTGTTTTTCAACTTGCTATTTGTTGTTATTTCAAGCACAGTGGGAGGGATTTGTAAAAATGATGGACTGGACTGTAGACTAGACCATGGACGGCCTTAGTATGGACTATATACTGAAGGATAGACTCAACTAAACACTATAGACTAGACAATAGACTAGACAATAGACTAGACTATAGACTAGACTATAGACTAGACTATAGACTACTAGACTATAGACTAGCCTATAGACTAGACTATAGACTAGACTATAGACTAGACTATAGACTAGACTATAACTAGACCTATAGACTAGCTATAGACTAGACTATAGACTAGACTATAGACTAGACTATAGACTAGACTATAGACTAGACTATAGACTAGACTATAGACTAGACTATAGACTAGACTATAGACTAGACTATAGACTAGACTATAGACTAGACTATAGACTAGACTATAGACTAGACTATAGACTAGACTATAGACTAGACTATAGACTAGACTATAGACTAGACTATAGACTAGACTATAGACTAGACTATAGACTAGACTATAGACTAGACTATAGACTAGACTATAGACTAGACTATAGACTAGACTATAGACTAGACTATAGACTAGACTATAGACTAGACTATAGACTAGACTATAGACTAGACTATAGACTAGACTATAGACTAGACTATAGACTAGACTATAGACTAGACTATAGACTAGACTATAGACTAGACTATAGACTAGACTATAGACTAGACTATAGACTAGACTATAGACTAGACTATAGACTAGACTATAGACTAGACTATAGACTAGACTATAGACTAGACTATAGACTAGACTATAGACTAGACTATAGACTAGACTATAGACTAGACTATAGACTAGACTATAGACTAGACTATAGACTAGACTATAGACTAGACTATAGACTAGACTATAGACTAGACTATAGACTAGACTATAGACTAGACTATAGACTAGACTATAGACTAGACTATAGACTAGACTAGACTAGACTATATACTAGACTATAGACTAGACTATGACTAGACTATAGACTAGACTATAGACTAGACTATAGACTAGACTATAGACTAGACTATAGACTAGACTATAGACTAGACTATAGACTAGACTATAGACTAGACTATAGACTAGACTATAGACTAGACTATAGACTAGACTATAGACTAGACTATAGACTAGACTATAGACTAGACTATAGACTAGACTATAGACTAGACTAAAGACTAGACTAAAGACTAGACAATAGGCTTGACAATAGGCTAGACAATAGGCTAGACTAAAACTAGACTAAAACTAGACCACAGACAAGACCATAGAGTAGACCATAGTCTAGACCATAGACCAAACCATGGACTAGACCATAGACCAAAGACTAGACCATAGGTTAGACTATAGACTTCACGATAGAACATGAATATACAAATTCCATCCACTGTGTGTCGTCTAATAAACACACACACACTTTTGTTTTTGTTTTATTTTTATAAACAAACAGTGGAGTCAAGGGTGAAAAACAAAATAGTAAAATATACATACATATTTACTTCATTTGATAGAAAAATTGTATTCAGTTAATTTAGTCCACCCTTTGCTCCACTGTGCGCTTAACTGCAAATTTGCTAAAGTTAGTTGTTTTGATTTGTTCTTAATTTTTTATATATTTTATTACAATTACAAAATATTTTCCCTTTAATAGAACACCCACTTATTGTGAACTTTTTATTTAAACCTTTTATTGACAAACACATATCAAAACACTAAATCTCCCCTTTTTTACAAAAGACAAAGCACCTACATACACATATTAGCCCCGCCAGTTGTCAGCCAGTTTTCTTTTTTACAATTCTACACCTGTTAATATTTATTTTGTTCCAAAAAATTATTTAAAGAACACAATACTTTTCCCCAAATTGTTTTTGTCCAGGATTTTCCATTTAAGTAAATCCTTGCAAAATGTTTGTCCAGTATACTTAAAGCTGAGTTGAGAAGTTGTTTGTTTTCATATTGTGTTTGTTGTTTTTGTTGTTTATATCAAAATTGTCAAGATAAAATGTTTGTGGTGAAGTGTTGTGTTTATACTTATGTTATTAATTAATTAATTAGTTTTTAATTAAATTATTTATGTTTATTATGTGGCTTATTGTAAAAATATGCTTTGACACAAGAAAAAAATAAAACAAAAAAAGAGGATTTTCATAATTTATTAAAGTAAACAGAGAGACTAACACTAATAATACACTCTCTAGAATTTTTCTAGCGTAAGAGCTCAATGAGAGAGGAACTCTCAATAATGTGTACAAAATATTTACATATTAATTTTTTCTATAAAGCCTTGTTTTAAATAAATTTAAACAAATTGGTTTGAATTATTTTTAAAAAGGTAAATAAAAATCTCAAAATTTTTATGAAAATCTTTTTTATCATTTACAAAATTCATTTTCAAACATTTAAGCTTTTTGCATTATCATTAGTAAGTATTTTATTTTAAAACTTATTTAAAAACAGAAAAGCATCAATTTGGCGTCAGATAAACAATGAACTATGTTGCAGAAACATGTCTATAGAATGGGCTATAGACTAGACTATAGACTAGACTATAGACTAGACTATAGACTAGACTATAGACTAGACTATAGACTAGACTATAGACTAGACTATAGACTAGACTATAGACTAGACTATAGACTAGACTATAGACTAGACTATAGACTAGACTATAGACTAGACTATAGACTAGACTATAGACTAGACTATAGACTAGACTATAGACTAGACTATAGACTAGACTATAGACTAGACTATAGACTAGACTAGACTAGACTAGACTAGACTAGACTAGACTAGACTAGACTAGACTAGACTAGACTAGACTAGACTAGACTACTAGACTAGACTATAGACTAGACTATAGACTAGACTAGACTATAGACTAGACTATAGACTAGACTATAGACTAGACTATAGACTAGACTATAGACTAGACTATAGACTAGACTATAGACTAGACTATAGACTAGACTATAGACTAGACTATAGAATAGACTATAGACTAGACTATAGACTAGACTATAGACTAGACTATAGACTAGACTATAGACTAGACTATAGACTAGACTATAGACTAGACTATAGACTAGACTAGACTAGACCATAGACTAGACTAGACTATGGACTAGACTATAGACTAGACTGTAGACTAGTAACATTATTGCAGACAATTTCTTAAAGAGAATTGTTTCTGTTTTGGGCTTAAAATGATTCTTGCTTTAAAGTATTAAAAACTTTAATAAATTTTCTGGCGCCAAAACTGTAATGTTTTCTTGTTTGACCTGTTTCACAAAAACTCAAACATTTCTGTAGTTCTTTTTTATTTAATATTTAGACATTTGTTTTTCTATAAATTCGTTTTTGAGTGTAATTAAAATGTTAAAAACATGCCAATGTTGTTTTTCCCTCCCTTCTCTCTGTTTGCCATTTCTTTTTTCACTTTCGTTTTATTTTTAGAAATTGCCACTTTAACCCACAAATTTACCTCGGTGACTTTGTATAAAAATAAAACCGTACGATATGCAGCACGTATGCATGCAATTATAGCCTGTCAAATGGAATTTCAATTATATCCCATGGACATACAAGTGTGTCCCATATACATTGAAAGTTGTAAGTACTTTTTTGATCTAAAGTTTAAAAGTGAATTAACTAATTTTAATCTTATTTTTTTTTATTTAATTATCCTCTTTCTCAAGTTTCCTCCAACAATAAAAAGGTTAAACTACGTTGGTCCGACTCGGGAGTAACACTTAATCCTGAACTAAAACTTTGCAATACAACTTGGGCCAACCTTTGGAACTGGAGGAAAGTGATGGTTATATGCCCGAAAAGGTGGGCAATTTTTCACGTTTAACCGTTTACTTTCGTTTTGAGCGTCAAATTGGTCATCATTTGATACAAACGTTTGCACCCTCCTCACTGGTGGTTATGCTGTCTTGGTTTAGTTTTTGGTTGGGTCTAGATGCCATACCGGGAAGAGTTACTCTATTGGTTACTTGTATGCTAACACTGGTGACTATGTTTACCGGCTTAAGAGCAGATATACCACCTGTGGCTTATGTTAAGGTAAGAAATCATTAAGAATTAAGGGTGTCAAAATGAGAAGTTTTCATTTGATTTGATGTTTTATTTTCCAGGCTTTAGATTTATGGATGGCCGGTTGTATGGTATCGGTATTTGCGGCCTTAGCTGAATTTGTAGTGGTTAAAGTTTTAGATGTTCAATATCAATATCAGGTTAACAAAATACCCAAAACGTTGCCAATGGTAAGAAACAAATATATGTATATGAATGTGAATTTCAACATTTCTTTATCTCTGGCGCACAATTCCCGAGACCAGAGAGAAATATAAACTAAACGATAGACTAGAGCTTAACCAGAACTAGACCTGGAACAGAACGAGAACAGAACGAGAACAGAACTAGAACAGAACTAGAACAGAACTAGAACAGAACTAGAACAGAACTAGAACAGAACTAGAACTGAACTAGAACAGAACTAGAACAGAACTAGAACAGAACTAGAACAGAACTAGAACAGAACTAGAACAGAACTAGAACAGAACTAGAACAGAACTAGAACAGAACTAGAACAGAACTAGAACAGAACTAGAACAGAACTAGAACAGAACTAGAACAGAACTAGAACAGAACTAGAACAGAACTAGAACAGAACTAGAACAGAACTAGAACAGAACAGAACTAGAACAGAACTAGAACAGAACTAGAACAGAACTAGAACAGAACTAGAACAGAACTAGAATAGAACTAGAACAGAACTAGAACAGAACTAGAACAGAACTAGAACAGAACTAGAACAGAACTAGAACACAACTAGAACAGAACTAGAACAGAACTAGAACAGAACTAGAACAGAACTAGAACAGAACTAGAACAGAACTAGAACAGAACTAGAACAGAACTAGAACAGAACTAGAACAGAACTAGAACAGAACTAGAACAGAACTAGAACAGAACTAGAACAGAACTAGAACAGAACTAGAAACAGAACTAGAACAGAACTAGAACAGAACTAGACAGAACTAGAACAGAACTAGAACAGAACTAGAACAGAACTAGAACAGAACTAGAACAGAACTAGAACAGAACTAGAACAGAACTAGAACAGAACTAGAACAGAACTAGAACAGAACTAGAACAGAACTAGAACAGAACTAGAACAGAACTAGAACAGAACTAGAACAGAACTAGAACAGAACTAGAACAGAACTAGAACAGAACTAGAACAGAACTAGAACAGAACTAGAACAGAACTAGAACAGAACTAGAACAGAACTAGAACAGAACTAGAACAGAACTAGAACAGAACTAGAACAGAACTAGAACAGAACTAGAACAGAACTAGAACAGAACTAGACAACTGAACTAGAACTAGAAACTAGAACTGAACTAGAACTGAACTAGAACTGAACTAGAACTGAACTAGAACTGAACTAGAACTGAACTAGAACTGAACTAGAACTGAACTAGAACTGAACTAGAACTGAACTAGAACTGAACTAGAACTGAACTAGAACTGAACTAGAACTGAACTAGAACTGAACTAGAACTGAACTAGAACTGAACTAGAACTGAACTAGAACTGAACTAGAACTGAACTAGAACTGAACTAGAACTGAACTAGAACTGAACTAGAACTGAACTAGAACTGAACTAGAACTGAACTAGAACTGAACTAGAACTGAACTAGAACTGAACTAGAACTGAACTAGAAACTGAACTAGAACTGAACTAGAACTGAACTAGAACTGAACTAGAACTGAACTAGAACTGAACTAGAACTGAACTAGACTAGAACAGAACTAGAACAGAACTAGAACAGAACTAGAACAGAACTAGAACAGAACTAGAACAGAACTAGAACAGAACTAGAACAGAACTAGAACAGAACTAGAACAGAACTAGAACAGAACTAGAACAGAACTAGAACAGAACTAGAACAGAACTAGAACAGAACTAGAACAGAACTAGAACAGAACTAGAACAGAACTAGAACAGAACTAGAACAGAACTAGAACAGAACTAGAACAGAACTAGAACAGAACTAGAACAGAACTAGAACAGAACTAGAACAGAACTAGAACAGAACTAGAACAGAACTAGAACAGAACTAGAACAGAACTAGAACAGAACTAGAACAGAACTAGAACAGAACTAGAACAGAACTAGAACAGAACTAGAACAGAACTAGAACAGAACTAGAACAGAACTAGAACAGAACTAGAACAGAACTAGAACAGAACTAGAACAGAACTAGAACAGAACTAGAACAGAACTAAAAACTAGAACTGGAACAGAACTAGAACTAAACTAGAACTAAACTAGAACTGAACTCGAACTCTGAACTAGAACTGAACACTAGAACTGAACTAGAACTGAACTAGAACTGAACTAGTAGAACTGAACTAGCAACTGAACTAGAAATGAACTAGAACTGAACTAGAAACTGAACTAGGAACTGAACTAGAACTTGAACTTAACGAACTAGAACTGACTAGAACTGAACTCGAACTGAACTAGAAACTGAACTAGAACTGAACTAGACTGAATAGAACTGAACTAGACTGAACTAGAACTGAACTAGAACTGAACTAGAACTGAACTAGAACTGAACTAGAAACTGAACTAGAACTGAACTAGAATGAACTAGAACTTAAACATAGAACTGAACTAGAACTTGAACTAGAACTGAACTAGAACTGAACTAGAACTGAACTAGAACTGAACTAGAACTGAACTAGAACTGAACTAGAACTGAACTAGAACTGAACTAGAACTGAACTAGAACTGAACTAAACGAACTGAACTAGAACTGAACTAGAACTGAACTAGAACTGAACTAGAACTGAACTAGAACTGAACTAGAACTGAACTAGAACTGAACTAGAACTGAACTAGAACTGAACTAGAACTGAACTAGAACTGAACTAGAACTGAACTAGAACTGAACTAGAACTGAACTAGAACTGAACTAGAACTGAACTAGAACTGAACTAGAACTGAACTAGAACTGAACTAGAACTGAACTAGAACTGAACTAGAACTGAACTAGAACTGAACTAGAACTGAAGTAGAACTGAACTAGAACTGAACTAGAACTGAACTAGAACTGAACTAGAACTGAACTAGAACTAGAACTGAACTAGAACTGAACTAGAACTGAACTAGAACTGAACTAGAACTGAACTAGAACTGAACTAGAACTGAACTAGAACTGAACTAGAACTGAACTAGAACTGAACTAGAACTGAACTAGAACTGAACTAGAACTGAACTAGAACTGAACTAGAACTGAACTAGAACTGAACTAGAACTGAACTAGAACTGACTACTAGAACTGAACTAGAACTAACTGAACTAAAACTGAACTAGAACTGAACTAGAACTGAACTAGAACTGAACTAAAACTGAACTGGAACTGAACGAGAATTGAACTAGAATTGAACTAGAAGTAAACTAGAACTGAACTAGAACTAGAACTGAACTATATACATGACTATAGACTAAACCATATAATGGACTGAGTTTGTGATCCAGAGATAAATATTTTCTTTATACAAATCTCCTCTACGACTTCTATCTTTGTTTCTTTTAATGGGTTCTCTCTTTTTATTTTAAAATAAATCTAAATTATTTATAGAAATAACTGCATTTACTTTGTTCTCATTTCATTCCAGCGCATAAGTAACATGGAAAAAGGTCAATGTGCAACGGTGGCTAGTTGGGAAGGCGGTGCTGTGCGATCACGCAAGGCTACACAAACACCAACAACACCCGGCCAGGTTAAAAAAGAAAACCTTGTCTTATTAATTGTGTTATTTACTTTTTTCTTCTCTCTCTTCTATAGACTTCTTTACAGGGCAATGGTGGTCCACCTAAACCGGCCAGACGTCAAAGTTTACTTTCAGTAGCCTGGACGGACATAGACACCGGCGTGGAGAAAATAATGTGGCGTGAAATAGATAAAGTTTCACGCGCTGTTTTCCCTATCTTATTTTTTGTTTTTGTCCTTTTGTACTGGCCCATATTGCTAATGAAATCATCCTAGGATTTAGGGAGTTCCAGAGAACATCTATCTGGACTCCGTTAAAAAAGAATTTGGAAGAAGATTACACTTCACTACAAACAAATACACGGCTTAAAATGCTTAGAACGATTTAAGAGAATAACATATGTATGTTTTTTATATAAATATTTAAAATTAAAGAATTTTTGTTTAAACTATTTTCTTACATTTTAAAACAAATTTTTAAAAAATTTTTTAACGTATTTTAATATTTTTTATAGTTTAACTATAAAATTACTTTAAATATTTATAAGTTCGAAAAACAAAACAAAACTTAAAAACGGGTTTTAATTTTATTTTTGTTATAAAATATTTAAACATTTTTTAAGAATCTTAAATTAATTTAATAATTTTAAGATTTTTTCGGTTTATTTGTTGTTTCCTTTAAATGTTTAAGGAAATTTTTGTTTAACAACATTAGTGTTAATGTTAAGCAACATGTTGAAGAGTTTAAACCTGTTAGCAACATGTTGAAGACTAAACATAATTAGACAACATGTTGAAGAGTAAAAATTATATTTTATTGGAAAGTTTACTCAGTTGGAGACAACTTTTCTATAGAAAATTTGTTACAATTGAAGGCATCCTTTCTATAGAAAATTTGTTTCAATTAAACGTCTCAATTGCAAGCAACCTTTTCTATAGAAAATTTGCCTCAGTTGCAAACAACTTTTTTATAGAAAATTTGCCTCAATTGCAAGCAACTTTTTTATAGAAAATTTGCCTCAATTGCAACCAACTTTTCTATGGAAAATTTGTCTCAATTACAAGCAACTTCTCTATAGACATTTTGACTCAATTGTAAGCAACTTTTCTATAGAAAATTTGCCCCAAATTGCAAGCAACTTTTCTATAGAAAATTTTGCCTCAATTGTAAGCAACTTTTCTATAGAAAATTTGTCTCAATTGCAAGTAACTTTTCTATAGAAAATTTGCCTTAATTGCAAGCAACTTTTCTATAGAAAATGAGTCTCAATTACAAACAACTTTTCTATAGAAAATTTGCCCCAAATTGCAAGCAACTTTTCTATAGAAAATTTGCCTCAATTGCAAGCAACTTTTTTATAGAAAATTTGTCTCAATTACAAACAAATTTTCTATAGAAAATTTGCCCCAAAAGCAACTTTTCTATAGAAAATTTGCCTCAATTGCAAGCAACTTTTCTATAGGAAATTTGCCTTAATTGCAAGCAACTTTTCTATAGAAAATTTGTATCAATTGCAAGCAACTTTTTTATAGCAATTTTGCCTCAATTGCAAGCAACTTTTCCATAGAAAATTTGCCCCAAATTGCAAGCAACTTTTCTATAGAAAATTTTCCCCAAATTGCATGCAACTTTTCTATAGAAAATTTGCCTCAATTGCAAGCAACTTTTCTATAGAAAATTTGCCTCAATAACAAGCAACTTTTCTATAAAAAATTTGCCTCAATTGCAAGCAACTTTTCTATACAAAATTTGTCTCAATTACAAGCAACTTTTCTATAGAAAATTTGCCTAAATTGCAAGCAACTTTTCGATAGAAAATTTGCTTCGATTATAAGCAACTTTTTTATAGCAATTTTGCCTCAATTGCAAACAACTTTTCTATAGAACATTTGCCTTAATTTGACGCAACTTCTCTATAGAAAATTTGCCTCAATTACAAGCAACTTTTCTATATAAAAATTGCTTTAATTGGAGGCAACTTTTCCATAGAAAATTAGCCTCAATTGCAAGCAACTTTTCTATAGAAAATTTGTATCAATTAAAGACATCTTTCCTATAGAAAATTTGCTTCAATTGAACACATGTTTTCTGTAGAAATGTTGCTTCAATTGAGGGCAACTTTTCCATAGAAACAAAGTCTTAGATTGTATACCAATTTTCATTAAAATTTAAGAAGTTCAGTTCAAAATTTAAAACAGATTTATTTCTAAAATAAGTAAGTACAATTATACACCTCATCACCAACTGTGAAATGCAACAAGAACAACAACAAAATTAACATTTTAAAATGTTTAATGTTAAACACTATAACTTGAAATAACTAGAAATTTGGTGCTTCTTTAAAATATATATTAGAAAAGTAAAAACAATAAATTGTATAAAACTACGGAAAAAAATAATACTATAGAATATTTAAGTAAACATATTTTTTATAGCTTTTTTGCCAATTAAACGCACATTTATAATAACAACAGGAAATTAAAAGAAAAAATGTTCACATTAACTAAATATTTAACAATGTGAAACATTCTTAATCCTTGTTAATTTAACATAAAACAAAATATAAACGTAATTAAACAAATTTTTGCATAAGTACTTTTGTAAACATATTTTAGTTCTTAAGTGTAAATGTAAAATAAATTAATATATCTTAGCTAATGTACAATCGACTAACGAAAAACCCTATAATTAATCCCACTAAACACTTCTAAAAGAAAACTTTAAATAAATGTCTCTAAAAAACCTTAAGCACTTTTTTAATCCTCCCCCCAAAATAAATTAATCATACTAATAGTTAGTTAACAATTTATAAAAAATAAAACCAAACTAACCAAAATGCCTAAAGCCTTAAAAGCTTTTTTATTACATACATATATATATATTTTTTGGGTTAACTAATTGTTATGGATATTAAATATGATAATCAAATTATCAATTAAGTATATTTATGTATTAAATTTCAAATTAATTTTTACTAGTATTAACTAGCAAATGCTTTTAATTTTGCATTAAAAAAATTAAACAATTATTATTAGTTAAGTAATAAATCTAGAAAAATGTGTGTGTGAAAGATTTTCAGCAAAATAAATTTATAAAACGAACTAACTAAACAATTGTTTAACGAAGTATGTATGTATATATAAAGTAAAGGAAAGCGAAATTTATTTTAATTTCAATAAAGTAAATTTGTCAAAATGATTTTCAATAAGGAAAAGGAGTTTTATTTATAGACAAAAGGTGAACTATAGGACTATAGATTAGACTATAGACTCGACTATAGACTAGACTAGAGACTAGAATATAGACTAGACTATAGACTAGACTAGAGACTAGAATATAGACTAGACTATAGACTAGACTATAGACTAGACTATAGACTAGACTATAGACTAGACTATAGACTAGACTATAGACTAGACTATAGACTAGACTATAGACTAGACTATAGACTAGACTATAGACTAGACTATAGACTAGACTATAGACTAGACTATAGACTAGACTATAGACTAGACTATAGACTAGACTATAGACTAGACTATAGACTAGACTATAGACTAGACTATAGACTAGACTATAGACTAGACTATAGACTAGACTATAGACTAGACTATAGACAGACTATAGACTAGACTATAGACTAGACTATAGACTAGACTATAGACTAGACTATAGACTAGACTATAGACTAGACTATAGACTAGACTATAGACTAGACTATAGACTAGACTATAGACTAGACTATAGACTAGACTATAGACTAGACTATAGACTAGACTATAGACTAGACTATAGACTAGACTATAGACTAGACTATAGACTAGACTATAGACTAGACTATAGACTAGACTATAGACTAGACTATAGACTAGACTATAGACTAGACTATAGACTAGACTATAGACTAGACTATAGACTAGACTATAGACTAGACTATAGACTAGACTATAGACTAGACTATAGACTAGACTATAGACTAGACTATAGACTAGACTATAGACTAGACTATAGACTAGACTATAGACTAGACTATAGACTAGACTATAGACTAGACTATAGACTAGACTATAGACTAGACTATAGACTAGACTATAGACTAGACTATAGACTAGACTATAGACTAGACTAAGACTAGACTATAGACTAGACTATAGACTAGACTATAGACTAGACTATAGACTAGACTATAGACTAGACTATAGACTAGACTATAGACTAGATAAGACTAGACTATAGACTAGACTATAGACTAGACTATAGACTAGACTATAGACTAGACTATAGACTAGACTATAGACTAGACTATAGACTAGACTATAGACTAGACTATAGACTAGACTATAGACTAGACTATAGACTAGACTATAGACTAGACATAGACTAGACTATAGACTAGACTATAGACTAGACTATAGACTAGACTATAGACTAGACTATAGACTAGACTATAGACTAGACTATAGACTAGACTATAGACTAGACTATAGACTAGACTATAGACTAGACTATAGACTAGACTATAGACTAGACTATAGACTAACTATAGACTAGGACTATAGACTAGACTATAGACTAGACTATAGACTAGACTAGAGACCTAGACTATAGACCTAGACTATAGAATAGACTTAAGACTAGACTATAGACTAGACTATAGACTAGACTATAGACTAGACTATAGACTAGACCTATAGACCTAGACTATATACTAGACTATAGACTAGACTATAGACTAGGACTATAGACTAGACTATAGACTAGGACCTATAGACGAGACTATAGATCTCGACTATAGACCTAGACTATAGACTAGACTATAGACTAGACTATAGACTAGACTATAGACTAGACTATAGACTAGACTATAGACTAAGACTAGACTAGACTATAGACTAGACTATAGACTAGACTATAGACTAGGACTATAGACTAGACTATAGACCATACTATAGACTAGACATAGACTAGACTATAGACTAGACTATAGACTAGACTATAGACTAGACTATAGACTAGACTATAGACTAGACTATAGACTAGACTATAGACTAGACTATAGACTAGACTATAGACTAGACTATAGACTAGACTATAGACGAGACTATAGACTAGACTATAGACTAGACTATAGACTAGACTATAGACTAGACTATAGACTAGACTATAGACTAGACTATAGACTAGACTATAGACTAGACTATAGACTAGACTATAGATAGACTATAGACTAGACTATAGACTAGACTATAGACTAGACTATAGACTAGACTATAGACTAGACTATAGACTAGACTATAGACTAGACTATAGACTAGACTATAGACTAGACTATAGACTAGACTATAGACTAGACTATAGACTAGACTATAGACTAGACTATAGACTAGACTATAGACTAGACTATAGACTAGACTATAGACTAGACTATAGACTAGACTATAGACTAGACTATAGACTAGACTATAGACTAGACTATAGACTAGACTATAGACTAGACTATAGACTAGACTATAGACTAGACTATAGACTAGACTATAGACTAGACTATATGCAATACTATATAGTAGATGAAAGACAAGACTATATACCAGACTATAGATCTGAACCAGAACTGAACTAAAATTAGAACTGAGCTAGAACTGAACTAGAACTAGAACTGAACTAGAACTGAACTAGAACTGAACTAGAACTGAACTAGAACTGAACTAGAACTGAACTAGAACTGAACTAGAACTGAACTAGAACTGAACTAGAACTGAACTAGAACTGAACTAGAACTGAACTAGAACTGAACTAGAACTGAACTAGAACTGAACTAGAACTGAACTAGAACTGAACTAGAACTGAACTAGAACTGAACTAGAACTGAACTAGAACTGAACTAGAACTGAACTAGAACTGAACTAGAACTGAACTAGAACTGAACTAGAACTGAACTAGAACTGAACTAGAACTGAACTAGAACTGAACTAGAACTGAACTAGAACTGAACTAGAACTGAACTAGAACTGAACTAGAACTGAAATAGAACTGAAATAGAACTGAACTAGAACTGAACTAGAACTGAACTAGAACTGAACTAGAACTGAACTAGACCTGAACTAGAACTGAACTAGAACTAAACTAGAACTGAACTAGAACTGAACTAGAACTGAACTAGAACTGAACTAGAACTGAACTAGAACTGAACTAGAACTGAACTGAACTGAACTAGAACTGAACTAGAACTGAACTAGAACTGAACTAGAACTGAACTAGAACTGAACTAGAACTGAACTAGAACTGAACTAGAACTGAACTAGAACTGAACTAGAACTGAACTAGAACTGAACTAGAACTGAACTAGAACTGAACTAGAACTGAACTAGAACTGAACTAGAACTGAACTAGAACTGAACTAGAACTGAACTAGAACTGAACTAGAACTGAACTAGAACTGAACTAGAACTGAACTAGAACTGAACTAGAACTGAACTAGAACTGAACTAGAACTGAACTAGAACTTGAACTAGAACTGAACTAGAACTGAACTAGAACTGAACTAGAACTGAACTAGAACTGAACTAGAACTGAACTAGAACTGAACTAGAACTGAACTAGAACTGAACTAGAACTGAACTAGAAACTGAACTAGAACTGAACTAGAACTGAACTAGAACTGAACTAGAACTGAACTAGAATGAACTAGAACTGACTAGAACTGAACTAGAACTGAACTAGAACTGAACTAGAACTGAACTAGAACTGAACTGGAACTGAACTGGAACTGAACTAGAACTGAACTAGAACTGAACTAGATCTGAACTAGAACTGAACTAAAACTGAACTAGAACTGAACTAGAACTGAAGTAGAACTGAACTAGAACTGAACTAGAATTGAACTAGAACTGAACTAGAACTGAACTAGAACTGAACTAGAACTGAACTAGAACTGAACTAGAACTGAACTAGAACTGAACTAGAACTGACTAGAACTGAACTAGAACTGAACTAGAACTGAACTAGAACTGAACTAGAACTGAACTAGAACTGAACTAGAACTGAACTGAACTGAACTAGAACTGAACTAGAACTGAACTAGAACTGAACTAGAACTGAACTAGAACTGAACTAGATCTGAACTAGAACTGAACTAAAACTGAACTAGAACTGAACTAGAACTGAAGTAGAACTGAACTAGAACTGAACTAGAATTGAACTAGAACTGAACTAGAACTGAACTAGAACTGAACTAGAACTGAACTAGAACTGAACTAGAACTGAACTAGAACTGAACTAGAACTGAACTGGAACTGAACTGGAACTGAACTGGAACTGAACTGGAACTGAACTAGAACTGAACTAGAACTGAACTAGATCTGAACTAGAACTGAACTAAAACTGAACTAGAACTGAACTAGAACTGAAGTAGAACTGAACTAGAACTGAACTAGAATTGAACTAGAACTGAACTAGAACTGAACTAGAACTGAAATAGAACTGAACTAGAACTGAACTAGAACTGAACTAGAACTGAACTAGAACTGAACTAGAACTGAACTAGAACTGAACTAGAACTGAACTGAACTAGACTGAACTAGAACTGAACTAGAACTGAACTAGAACTGAACTAGAACTGAACTAGAACTGAACTAGAACTGACTAGAACTGAACTAGAAACTGAACTAGAACTAGAACTAACTAGAACTGAACTATAACTGAACTAGAACTGAACTAGAACTGAACTAGAACTGAACTAGAACTGAACTAGAACTGAACTAGAACTGAACTAGAACTGAACTAGAACTGACTAGAACTGAACTAGAAACTGAACTAGAACTGAACTAGAACTGAACTAGAACTAACTAGAACTACTAGAACTGAATAGAACTAACTAGAACTGAACTAGAACTGAATTAGAACTGAACTAGAATTGAACTGAACTGAACTAGAACTGAACTAGAACTGAACTAGAACTGAACTAGAACTGACTAGAACTGAACTAGAACTGAACTAGAAACTGAACTAGAACTAGACTATAACTGAACTAGAACTGACCTAGAACTGAACTAGAACTGAACTAGAACTGAACTAGAACTGAACTAGAACTGACTAGAAACTGAACTAGAACTGAACTAGAACTGAACTAGAACTGAACTAGAACTGAACTAGAACTGAACTAGAACTGAACTAGAACTGCACTAGAACTGAACTCGAAATGAGCTAGAACTGAACAGGAAGTGAATATTGATCAACATTTAAAATTTGTGAATTTAAAATCCGAATTTACCCCTTAAATTCATTATTTTTTCTACATAAATTAAAATTAATAGAAAATTTTTATAATTTACCTTTGAAATCCCATAATTAGCAATTTCTTTTGGAAACTTGATTGAAGGTTTAAACGAATTGTGAACTTGATTGAATCTTGATTGTAGACTAGATTTGATTTAATTTATTTGCAAACTTGATAGAAGACTTACTAGGATTACTAATGGTTTCACATTTTCTAATTGATAAAACGTTAGAAAAAGAGTAAAGTTTTAAATAGATTTCTTTATTTAAAAAACGTGTATATTTGTGTTATTTTCTAATTTTAACCTTTGTATACTTTAATTACCTTTTAGGTCCTTTTTTGTACCAGGAATTTCATTAAATTTGTTTTAAAATTTTGTATTTGGTTTTCTTCAACTTTATTACTGGCCGGTAGAAAATTTAAACTTAAATTTATACAACATATTTAGTCACTCTCAACGTCATCCTCACTACTTTCCTCCTCCTCGCTCTCTTCAGCAAATTCATCTGTTTCTTTTGTCGAAGTCTTTATAAGCAACATATCCTCATCATCCTCCTCCTCCTCTACTTCATCATCATCGTCGTTATCATTATGGTCTTTAGTAGATTTTAACTGATCAAGTTTATCTTTATTTTGTGTATTTCTAGTATGCGCCGTTTTCAATAGAGAACGTATGGTGAATTTATTAAAATCACAGCTGAAATCGTTAAAGGAAAAGTTTAAGTATCTTCAGAAATGTTATTTGAATTATTTGAATAAACTTACATTCTATTAAGACTTTCATATTTCCTAGAAATAGATTCATGTAAAGCTAACAGGGAAGTATGTTGGAAAACACCATCTTTATTGCCATGACTGAATAATAGACAGCAACACCATTGCAAATAGAATTCTACATGTGGAGAGGTCTGTAAAAGTTTAGCCAATATTTGCAACAAACGATGGGCATATTGATTGGGCAGGGTAGAACAGATAAGTTTAACTAAAATGGAAGAAAAGAAGGATATTGTAACAAATTGAAATATTTAATTTTGTAATATATACATACTGTCTTGATAGGGTATTGATTCTATGGCCAAAGTTATTAAATTATTTTCATTTAATTTCAAAGCCATTATTAAAGCTTTAGAATAGTTTTTAGCCTTTAAAGACTCCTTAATAGCTTTGGGTGTGACCTCCAAAGACAAATCGAAGGGATCAAATACAACTCCTAAGAAATAAAAGAAACATTAAATCAAAACATCCTTTATTATCTGTTCATTTTCATTCCTTACCCTTATCCAAAGTGTATATACACAAACCCTCTGTACAGGCGGCGGCAAAGGCTTGACCTGTGGGTGAAAATTTCACTGAAAATACTTTAACTTCTGGCTTAAAATTACGCGCTGCCATGTCGCCTTTTTGTACGCCCGGTAAACGTATGGCCACATTACCACCCTCTAGCTCTTCTCTTTGTTCAACCAGAGCCATATTGCCAAACTCAGTTAAATTGCGGCGATTTATAAATTCCTGTGCATATAAAATATAAAAAATCTTTGTTGTAAAAGAGTATTCAGGGGAAGTTTAAAAAAAAAACTTACATTCAAACCATCAAAACTAAGATTTTGTGTTATTTGGAATTTTTTCAAAAGCATGGCTTCCTTAACGTGATATATACAAATTACATGGGATTTGCCACCAGCCAATATGCATTCACCATCTGCGGAGTATTCCAAAGATGAAAAGTATCTAGAATAAGAAGGTAATTGGAAGGAAATATTACCCAAACAATTCAAAATTCGACTATTGTTAGTTCAATTCTAGTTCTGTTTTTAGTTCTGTTCTAGTTCTGTTCTAGTTCTGTTCTAGTTCTGTTCTAGTTCTGTTCTAGTTCTGTTCTAGTTCTGTCTAGTTCTGTTCTAGTTCTGTTCTAGTTCTGTTCTAGTTCTGTTCTAGTTCTGTTCTAGTTCTGTTCTATTTCTGTTCTAGTTCTGTTCTAGTTCTGTTCTAGTTCTGTTCTAGTTCTGTTCTAGTTCTGTTCTAGTTCTGTTCTAGTTCTGTTCTAGTTCTGTTCTAATTCTGTTCTAGTTCTGTTCTAGTTCTGTTCTAGTTCTGTTCTACTTCTGTTCTAGTTCTGTTCTAGTTCTGTTCTAGTTCTGTTCTAGTTCTGTTCTAGTTCTGTTCTAGTTCTGTTCTAGTTCTGTTCTAGTTCTGTTCTAGTTCTGGTTCTGGTTCTGTTCTAGTTCTGGTTCTGTTCTAGTTCTGGTTCTGTTCTAGTTCTGTTCAAGTTCTGTTCTAGTTCTGTTCTAGTTCTGTTCAAGTTCTGTTCAAGTTCTGTTCTAGTTCTGTTCTAGTTCTGTTCTAGTTCTGGTTCTGTTCTAGTTCTGTTCAAGTTCTGTTCTAGTTCTGTTCTAGTTCTGTTCTAGTTCTGTTCTAGTTCTGTTCTAGTTCTGTTCTAGTTCTGTTCTAGTTCTGTTCTAGTTCTGTTCTAGTTCTGTTGTAGTTCTGTTCTAGTTCTGTTCTAGTTCTGTTCTAGTTCTGTTCTAGTTCTGTTCTAGTTCTGTTCTAGTTCTGTTCTAGTTCTGTTTTAGTTCTGTTCTAGTTCTGTTCTAGTTCTGTTCTAGTTCTGTTCTAGTTCTGTTCTAGTTCTGTTCTAGTTCTGTTCTAGTTCTGTTCTAGTTCTGTTCTAGTTCTGTTCTAGTTCTTTCTGTTCTAGTTCTGTTCTAGTTCTGTTCTAGTTCTAGTTCTGTTCTAGTTCTGTTCTAGTTCTGTTCTAGTTCTGTTCTAGTTCTGTTCTAGTTCTGTTCTAGTTCTGTTCTAGTTCTGTTCTAGTTCTGTTCTAGTTCTGTTCTAGTTCTGTTCTAGTTCTGTTCTGTTCTGTTCTGTTCTGTTCTGTTCTAGTTCTAGTTCTGTTCTAGTTCTGTTCTAGTTCTGTTCTAGTTCTGTTCTAGTTCTGTTCTAGTTCTGTTCTAGTTCTGTTCTAGTTCTGTTCTAGTTCTGTTCTAGTTCTGTTTTAGTTCTGTTCTAGTTCTGTTCTAGTTCTGTTCTAGTTCTGTTCCAGTTCTGTTCCAGTTCTGTTCTAGTTCTGTTCTAGTTCTGTTCTAGTTCTGTTCTACTTCTGTTCTACTTCTGTTCTAGTTCTGTTCTAGTTCTGTTCTAGTTCTGTTCTAGTTCTGTTCTAGTTCTGTTCTAGTTCTGTTCTAGTTCTGTTCTAGTTCTGTTCTAGTTCTGTTCTAGTTCTGTTCTAGTTCTGTTCTAGTTCTGTTCTAGTTCTGTTCTAGTTCTGTTCTAGTTCTGTTCTAGTTCTGTTCTAGTTCTGTTCTAGTTCTGTTCTAGTTCTGTTCTAGTTCTGTTCTAGTTCTGTTCTAGTTCTGTTCTAGTTCTGTTCTAGTTCTGTTCTAGTTCTGTTCTTGTTCTGTTCTAGTTCTGTTCTAGTTCTGTTCTAGTTCTGTTCTAGTTCTGTTCAAGTTCTGTTCTAGTTCTGTTCTAGTTCTGTTCTAGTTCTGCTCTAGTTCTGTTCTAGTTTAGGTTGTTTACTTACTTTCCCAATTTATTCTTTTTGGCGGTGATAACATCCGTATCCAAACGACCACTATCCAAATCATTGCGTCCCTCTATAGTGCTTATCTGTGAGGCAGTTTTAACATCGAATACTACAATATTGCTATTTAAAGTAGCCACAGCCACCTTTATAAGAAAAAAGTAAATACATCACAAAAATTCAAACAAAAATCCAAAAAATAAATAATTTACATTTTCTCCATTAGGACTAAAAGCCACACAGGTAACATCAGACAGTAAATCAATAGTTTCATGTTCCGATTTATTTTCCAAACAATTCCAGATTTTAATGGTTTTATCCCAAGAGCCGGAAACCAAAGTTGAAGAAGAAGCTACAGGAGCAAAGGCAATGGAAGAAATAGGACCCTCATGGCCACTTATTACCTCCAATAAAGTACCCAATTTAACAGACCATAAATACAACTCAAAAACATCTAAACCGCCAGCCACCACTAATTCATCCGAGTAGTCCATGGCCACACAGGAAAATTGTACAGGGGTGGGAGAGGTAAAGGTACGGAAGTTACGGTAACTAAAAAAATTTAGATATTAAGACAATTTTAAGGATATTTAGCGAGAAAAACTTACCGTATTATATCAAAAGCCCTAACAGTACCATCCAAAGAACAACTGACCAAAAACTTTTTACCACGACTGAATTGTACACCTGTCACACCGCTGGTGTGTTCGGAGAATGTAACAAAACAGAAACCACTTTGGGTATTCCATAATTTTACTTTAGAATCCTCGCCTCCGGTTGCTATATACTGGCCGTCGGGAGAATAGGCTACACAAGCCATTTCTCTGCTATGACCCTGCTGTTTCATGATATATTGCTCTGACTGCCATTCCCAAACTAACAACTGACCCATTTCCCTAGAAGCCAAGGCCACCCAATCGCCAGTGTTGTTAAACAAAGCCGAGGAAATGGCATAATCCGATATACTTAAAGAATGTATCATATTAACCTCGGGCAATTCGTAGAGATAAAAAGAGCCAGTGCTAAAGCCCACCACCAAAACCTTGGTTTGACGATTATAATGAGCGGTAGTCAAAACAGCATCACGGTGTTCTTTACGTGGCTCATCGGCCAAGTAGTGACGGGCCAATTTTTTATAGTAAAACGGATGTCCTTTCTTAACATCTTCATCCTTAATGTCATTCTCATCCACCATATTTTCTGGTAAATTGTCTTCACCGGTCATGTTACTATTACGTTTTTCCACTGTATTTTCTACATCATCTTCAGATTCTTCAGCTGATTCAGTGCCTGAGGGTTTAGTTCTTTTCTTTTGCAAGGATAATTGTTGTCCATCCTTGTGTTCATAACGCGTTCTTTCTTCTATGTCAGAAGGTTCCAAACTACATTCCCACAAACACAATTGACCGTTACGACTTATGGTATTGGCATGTAAACTATTATTTTCAAAGAAACAAGCCACCATTGCATCTGTATGACCTCCCAGAATGTAAGTGCGGAATTTATTCATATGTTTTATGGCTATAACTTTGGATGAATTATCACGACAGCCTACTATAAGGAAACGTGAGTCTGAAGACCAATCGAGGCAGGTAACATCATCATAACCACCCAAATAGTGACGTTCCAAAACAAAAGGATTATATTCACCGGTTATCTCACCAGGAGCTTTAAAAATAAATATCAAATTTTGCATAGCCACAGCAAAATGTGCACCATTGGGACTAAAGGCCACACACTGGACGGCATGTTGGAATTTATGCTGATGTATGACGGTACAAGACACCATACTTATTAGTTGAGCCTGACCACGTTCATTAACCGCCAACAACAAACTGCCATCGGGAGACAAGGCCAAACTTTGGTAATTATACAATGACTCCAAGGACAGGGTAGAGGCTTTGTTGCTACAAATTAATTAAAGTTAATTACAATTTTTCCATTTTCTTGTTAAAACTCACTTTTTCAGATCATATAAAGTTAATCTATTGCCCACGGCACTTATTATGGAATTTCCATCGGGTGTAAAAAGCAAATTACCATTGCGATATATGGTGCCCAATAAATTGGAAAACTATGAAGAATTTTCAACATTTTAAGAGAAAATTTTATTAATTTTTTAAACATTACAACTTACTTTATAGGAAAACTTCATTTTTATTTAAAATTTTGTTTAATTTCTATTAAATTTTTTATAAATTAGCAAACAAATAAAAAACCGCACTTGTTTAAAAGAAAAAAATGTAAACAATGTCAAAACACACGTGCAGTGACAAAAATGGGATGCCAATTTGTTTAAAATAATTAGAAAGTTGCCACACGTATTTTTATAATAAACAATGGGGTTTATAAATGGGAAAATTTATTTTTATATAAAAAGCTTCATTTAACAAGAAATAGAGTCCATATTGATCTAGGATATTACGCATGATTTAAGGAAGTCGTAAATATTGTAACCACTTAAATTTGTAAAATCAAAAATATTCCTTGAAAATATATGTTGTTGTTTATCGGCGCCTATATAAATCAACCGCTTTGTTGATATCTTTTATTAGAGATAACAGCTGCTCATTACAACATTTATCGTTTAATTTGTTTAGCATAATTTACCATCTCTAACGAATTTACCGGTTTAAAAAATATTTGTTTGTCGCAGTTTTTTAATTCAACTTTCAATTAAATTTTAAAAATTACTAAATTTTATAAAGAAAAATACCTTCAACAAACATGAGAACTACCACACCACCCACACAAATGCTTAATTTTACTGAGCAAATCAATTGTTTCGATATTTGCCAAACAGACTTCGCATCTAACCTCATTTGTATTGCGGCTGAGAAAAAGCTTATTTTGGGTTTAGTGAGATTTCCAGTAAGTTTCCTTTAACATTTTCTTTATGCTCTTTCATTTATAGCATTTTTTAATACTTTAGGAAGAATCCGAAAGTGAACAATTTGAATGGGAACGTTTAAAGGACATCTACCATGAAACTCGCTGTCATGCCATATGCTTTGCACCCGAGACTTCTCTAGTGGCCATACCCAAAACGGTGACCTTTTGTGCTGCCGGTGCTGATTTTCTACTGCGCGTTTATCGCACCGATATGCAAAATACCGATACTGTACAAACTTTAAAGGCTCATACAAATTATGTCAATGATATTGCCTGGGATTGTGAAGGTGAGTTCTTAGCTTCTGTTAGTGATGATCACAGCTGTAAAATCTGGAGTCTGGAATCACATTATGAAAATGTTATAACATTTTGCCTATCATCGGCTGGCATGTCGGTGAAATGGCACCCGGAAGAACCACACAAGGTTTTGGTGGCCGAAAAGAAGGGTGTAGTGCATATGTATAATGTTAAATCACAACAGGCCATCGTTTCGCTGGAGACACCCAAATCTCCCCTCATGTCCGCCGACTGGTCTTTAAATAATTGCCATTTTATAACAGCATTAGCTGCAGGGGAGATTATCACCTGGGATTTATCCAGACGTCCCTGTTCACCATCCGATGTTAGACAAATCCATGAAGATGGTGGTCGTGCGGTATGCATGTCTCCCACCTCGGAATATGTGGTAGCCAGTGTGGGTCGTCCTGATATTACCTTAAAAGTATATTCCACCAAAACGTCAGTGCCTTTATTGGAGGCTCCTTTAAAATTATTTGCTGGCTTGTGTTGGCATCATCGCCTGCCTTATGTGGCAGCCGCCTATGATCGTAAGTTGTGTTTTTGGAAAGTACAATTTAAATAGAATTTAGTAAACAAAAATGAAAGAATTTTATTTTAATTTTTTGTGATTTTTATTGGGAGTAGAGAGAATATACAATGAATCGCATTTAAATTAAGCTCCATTTACAGAGGCTAAGTATTCCTTATAACGCTGTTCTTGTTGAGCCTGCAATTTTTGTAATTTTTTTAGCTGTCCTTTACTGACTTCCTTGCCTTCTTTGTCGTGAGTTGGTAGGCCCTGGAATAAAGGAAAAATATAGTTAATAAGTGGAACTTTAAAATAGAAAAGGGTCGAACTGGACTATAGAATATACTATTAAATAGGTTTGATTATATAGATTTTTGTTATTTAGATTTGTTTCCTTTTAACTCACATTTTCATCAAATTGCGAATACTTGTCGGTTTCTTGCAAAAACATTTCCTTTGGATTAATTTTACGTTGAGCTTCCTTAGCAGCAGCCGCTTCAGCTGCCGCCTGCTTCTTACGTTCCTTTTCCGCTAAACGTTCTGCTTCGGCAGCCTTTTTACTCTCCCTTTCCTTCAGCAAAGTTTCACGATCTACCAGTTTTACTGCAAATTTACCACCATCTTTATCTTCTAAACGTACACCCAATTGGGGTAAGACATCATCACGCAATTGATCGCACAAATTTAAAATTTCTGTCGCTTTTAAAGTTTTAGCCTGTTCGCGTACTTGATTTCTGAAAACAGCAGCAGCTTCCACATAAGGCAAAACAGTAGATTCAAGATCAATGTTACCATCAGCAGAAGCCGAACCTACAGGGAAACCAATACCACCACGAGGACCCGTAATGGCGCCAAATATGTGCAACAAGTCAGTGATGTAAGAGGCAATTTTACGCAATAATAAACAATTTAAACGGCCCTTATTGTCACGTATATAAATATTGGCGGCTGAGACTAAGTCACGGATCGAATCTAAAGCACTACGAGTATCAACATTATCTAAAAAAAAAAAGAAAAATGTTAAATATTTGATATGATTGGTGCAGCTTTTAGCTACTTACCACATAAGGCATTGTGTACGGCAGTTTGTATTTCATTGTATTTTCTTTGTAAAGCAGCCTCGACCTGAGTCCAAGCATCAAATTGTCTTCTGGGTTCTTCGGAAGTGACATGACGTGTTAAGTCTTTAACATTAAGGAAGAATTCCTAAAATAGTTCAAAAGTTTTATAACAAATTTCTTAAGTTTTTCCAAAATTGTTTCCTACATTTAAGAATCTTTCATATTGTATGGCCATTTCCATAGTATTCTCCGAATAGTCCAGAGTATCTTTCCAGGAATGCAATAAAAATGCCAAACGCAACTGACAGGGTGTATGCTTTTGCAAAGCCTGTTGTATGGTAACAAAATTCTTTAGAGACTTTGACATTTTGCAGCCTGCTATAGTCAAATGCCCAGTATGCAGGAAATACTTCACCCATTCGGCCTCATCAAAAGCAGCCTCCGACTGAGCCAATTCATTATCATGATGGGGAAATTTAAGATCTACACCACCGGTATGTATATCAAATGTTGGACCAAACACATCTGAGGCCATAGCGGAGCATTCTATATGCCAGCCAGGACGTCCTTTACCCCAGGGACTATCCCACCAGGGTTCACCAGCTTTACTAGCCTTCCACAAGGCAAAATCATTAGGTGAACGTTTTTCCGTTAAACGTTCTTCACCCACCGACAAATCACCCTCACCCTCTTGCAAGGACTTAGTGTCACCATAAGCTTCCGGCACTAATTTCGCATAGAAATGTTTGTCTTTATTGTCGAAACCATTGACATCAAAATAAACCGAACCATTGGCAGCATAGGCTAAACCATTGTCAATAATACGCTGTATAAAGCTAATAATTTGGGGCACATATTCCGAAACACGAGTCAAAACATCGGGTGGTAAGATCTATATAAAAAATTAAACAAATTAGATGTTTAAGGGAAGTTAGTGGAATTATTACTTACATTCAAAGATTTCATATCATTATGAAATTGATCCTCCCAGTAGCGAGGCAAAGACTCAAATATAGCATTATCGTTAACCGAAGCACCTTCCTTTGAATCTAACCAATTCGAAATGGGATCTTTAGCCCCTTGCAAATACACATCACGTGCTTTAGCAATATCCTCCGTTTTACCACCAGCCACTGCTTTAGTTAAAGATTCTACAGCATCATTCATCCGAACAAATAACTTATCCAACATGATTTTCTTATCGGCATCAGTATTTTTAGCACAGGTTTCCTGGAATAAGGCCAACACTTCCGCCTGATCTTGCAAAAGCTCCGCTAAAGGAGCGTCCTTGGATTTTTCAGCATAGCGATCAAACAAGTAATTTTGTCTGGCACGTTTTATGATTTTATCATCTATATCGGTTATATTCATGACATATAGAATATTATAACCAAAATAATCGGACAAAACACGCCGCAAAATATCAAAAGAAATATAAGATCTGTAAACGAATAAGTTTAGTAAAAGTTAGCCTTCAATGTTTACAATTGTTTCCTCACCTAGCATGGCCCATGTGTGAGGCATCATAGACCGTGGGTCCACAACTATACCAGGTTACATTGTTACCATCCAGCGGCACAAATTCTTCTTTTTGCCGGGTCAAACTGTTGAATAAACGCAATTTTTGTTTTTCGCCGGCTGCGGGTACCTGCCACGAAGGCTGTTGACGTTTGGCCATTTTCTAACAATTGATATTTTATCTTTTTTAGATAAACTAGAAAATTTTAAAAAAAAGAACAAATTTCCACGTTGCAACAACTACTGCACGGAATGAGGTTGTTGTCGGTATGACACACTCCTCAAAACATTAGTTTGACAATTAAATTAGAGTAAACAGCTGAAAGTTTATTAAAAAAACTGGGGAAATGGGTTAATAGGGGGTATTTTGCATTTTGTATAAAAACATTGTGGAAATAACATAAATTATTAGCTAAATATGTTAATAGTGTATCTAATCTACACAAAAACTGTATAATATATGTTTTCAAAAAGCTAATTAAAATCTACTTTTTATTATAAACTAATAAATTCCATAAAATCCTTGCCGTTTTTACATATGGCAACTTCTTTGTTTACATGCCAAAAGAAATACAAGTGTTATCAACAGCAGGTGAATGCCTTTATAAAACCAGTACATATTATTTTTGTTTTATTTGCCGGTGGTTTTTTTATATATTTGTCAGGAATTTGTGGAAAATCCTTTGTTTTCTTTCTTTAAAAATAAAAGAAGTGATTTAATTCTTATAAATCAATAACAAAACAATAAAAAATTATAAATAAAAAGCTTCCTTTATATAGCATTTTATAATTAAAAGCAAAATTTAAAATTTTTGAATGAAGCCAACAAAATGCTCAAGTATTTAGTGGTTTTCTTAATCCTCGCCAAAGTCTCCACAGGAGTTGAGTATACGGAAGATGAAAATGGTTATTTAGCCTATTGTCCCTGTATGGGTAAGTTTGTTTTAGATAAATAAAAATCTTTTATTAACATGTTCACTTCCTAGGACGCTTTGGCAATCAGGCTGATCATTTTTTGGGATCTTTGGCATTTGCCAAAGCCTTAAATCGTTCTCTTATACTGCCACCTTGGGTAGAATATCGTCGTGGTGAAATGCGTTCTTTGCAGGTGCCCTTTAATAATTACTTCTCGGTGGAAGCTTTAAAAAACTATCATCGTATTATTTTAATGGAAGATTTTATGAAATACTTGGCTCCGAAGCTTTGGCCTGAGGAGAAAAGGGTGTCTTTTTGTTATATGGAACGTAAAAGTTTGCAAAATAAAGGTAATACCAAACCAGGTTGTCATGCTAAAGAAGGCAATCCTTTTGGACCATTTTGGGATACCTTTGCTATAGATTTCAGCAGTTCTGAGTTCTATGGTCCTCTACACTTTGATGTTCACCACAGTAACATGCCCGAAAGATGGAATGAACGTTATCCTGCATCACAATGGCCAGTATTAGCTTTTACGGGTGCTCCGGCCAGTTATCCAGTGCAAAATGAAAATCGCCAGTTGCAGCAATATTTAAAGTGGAATCATAAATATCGTACACTGGCAGCAGATTTCATTAAAAATTCCCTACCCAAAGGCGCCTTCATAGGTATACACTTGCGCAATGGCATAGATTGGGTGAGAGCATGTGAACATGTTAAGGATAGTCAGCAATTGTTCGCCTCACCTCAATGCTTGGGTTATAACAATGAAAAAGGCTCTCTATATCCAGAATTATGTATGCCTTCTAAAGAGCTAATTGTGCGTCAAATAAAGCGACTTATAAAAAATGTTAAACAAGATCAACCTAAAAATGAGGTACGTTCCGTGTTTGTGGCCTCCGATAATAATCATATGCTGCCAGAACTAAATGTAGCCTTACAACGCATGAACATAACGGTACACCGTTTACCTGAGGATAATCCTCATTTAGATTTGGCCATTTTAGGGCAATCAAATCATTTCATAGGCAACTGTATATCCTCGTTTACCGCGTTCGTTAAAAGAGAACGTGACATAAGTGGTTTTCCTTCATATTTTTGGGCTTATCCCAATGAAAAAGAACGCCAGCATTCCCGGGTACATGAAGAACTTTAAAAAGATATTTATAAGCCAACAACCAGCGAATATAATTGAATCTCCATTAGCATTTAAAAGTTATACAAATGGAAGGTATAACATTAAGTAGAAGTAGTTTAAAACTGGAAAGTATTTTCTTAATAAAAACGACTTTAAAATGTATGTTTTCTTTAAAATCTTGAATTTTTAAAGAAATAATTTTTATTTTTTTATATTAAATTTAATTGATGACAAATAGAAAACTTACTTTGTGTGTTTGTTTGTTTGTTTTTAATAAAATTTTTATAAAACCCTTCTTTTCCTAATGCACCAATTTTTGACTACGAGCCAAATCCAATTGTACCGATGACACCTGAGTAAGACCTTCACGTACCGCACTTAAGTTATCCTTCCAGGCATGCAATAAATCTCTCAATTGTTCCCATTGAGGAGCACCAAATGTACGATGCATAGTGGAAGAGATATGCACTTTGCGATTGGCTTGATCGAGGCGAGCACGTACCAATTTTGTCTTCAATACCTCAATAACAAAGGCCTCCACTTCATCTTCGGAAATTTGCAATTCTTTGGTCAAGGTTTCAAAACTCATTTCGGGATTGCTTTCGGCCAATTGCATAAAGGTTAGCAAACGCATTTTCTTCATGTTCTGTTCGTGGTTCAGGCCCTGTGAATTGACAAATTCCTTGTGGTCTTCATAGAATTGTATGTAGGAGGGCAATTTGTCGGACACGAAAATGGACAATAAATCATGAATCAAATCGCCTTCCAAAAAGCGCACAGGTTTCAAAGCCAACAAGGGATCTAAAAGGAATGTATTGGGATCGGCCAAGGCGGTAACAATACATTTCATGGCATCCTCACGGGCCACACAGGCATTGTCAGCGGTATAGGTGCCCAAAAGTTCAATCATTACCTTGGCCGACAGCTCCAAATTGGTATCCTTGGTGACATCGTGCAACAAACGGTAGAGTTTTTGCATTTGTTCAGCCGAGGGTGGGCAATTGGCAAATTGTGACTTCAATTGATCCACTCCAGTGAAAACTTCCAAAACTTGATCACACTGTTTGGCCACCTGAACCAAATGGTAGTAGACATGATAGCGCAAGGGAGAGGAAGTATCTAAATTATTAAACAAACGCCACAAGGACTGCAAACACACTTTTGTCAAAGGAACATTGGTAGCCTTAGTCATTTTCTCACAATAAGCCAAAATAATGTTTTCACCACGATCCAAGGGAATCTATAGCAAATAGAACAAAAAAACAAAAACATTAATTTCCTTTCAATTATAAAAACTTTCAAAAAACTACCGTAATCATTATGGATACAATACTGTTGAGTATGCAATCAATCTGTTGGGGCTCACCATCCTTAAAGCAAACATCACACACACCAATGATTTTGTGTAAATCATCTTCTACACCCTTGCTGGATTTTTCCGACGAGATTTCAGCACCCAAATTCTTGAAATATTTTCTCAATTCTTGGACCTACAAAAAATAAGAATTATTATTCACAAGGCATATAAATTTGCAATTGTTTATTTGCCATTTGGCCAATTTTCTAACATAACCTCAACTTTTTTCGACTGTCCAAAAGATTGCTTACAATTTTGTAGCTTCTTTAGTTGTTATAAATACTTTACCTGTTCATCCATGGATAAATCTATAAAAACTGGTGGAGAATTCATGTTTTCTTGATTAATTTTCTGCTTATTTATACGTTTAAATAAATTATTTTTCTACGATTCGCCCAACACACGTCGCTTCTTTTATAAACTCAACAATAGAAAGGGTTGTCAAATATTTGACATTTCATGTGTTAATCATTTCGGGTGAGTGCTTATTTGTTTGTAATATAGAGATGACACTTTTGCGAGAGCAATGGTAGGTGGAATTTTTTGTTTTATTAATAATCGACCGTATTGTGGTTGAATACAGACCATTTGTGGAACGAATTTGATTAAATAATAGACAATGTTTAAATATTTCCTTAAAAGATTGGGATTTCTATGATGTAACAATTTTCCTAAAATATGTTTTGACTATAATTTGTTTTTTATTACGGATCAAAGTTTTTTTAAATGAGATGAATGTCTAGACAATAGAGTAAGCTATTCTATAGTAACAATTTCCCGGCATTTTCTTCAAAAAATGCCCCGTTTGCAATCATTTTGTTAGGCAAAGCCTATAAATGCTATCGATAATTTTAGTTAAGCTAACATTTTACAATACCTGCAAATTTAAATAAGAAGAACAGTGTAAACATGCTTTAGTTATAGTGCAGTTGGCATAGGGACTTTTTTGGTACTTTTGTTTAAATCTATGTAACTTTAACAGATATTAATACCAAATATTAAAACAAACAAAATAATCTAATTCCTAAAATAGTAAAATTAAATAAGTTTACTTTAAAGATTCAATACATTCGAAACCAATTTAAAATATATAATTTTATGGGAAATTTCCTTTCACACTAAAATTTAAATGCCCAACACTGACAGCCACTTTGAAATGATAGCGCTGCAAGTAAAAAAAATGGCAAAAGGTAAACATAACATTTTTTCATCAATTATAATTTAAAATTACATTAAGACGGTCGACATGCAGGAAATAACTACAGCCGAAATAGCAAGTACCCAATTAACACAACAGGAAAAAAATGGCGAACCTCAAAAGGAATTCTACACCAAGGCACAACAATATTGGTCAGAGGTACCTGCCACTGTAAATGGCATGCTGGGCGGTCTAGGCTATATAAATGCCATCGATGTCCAGGGCTCAAATGCTTTCCTGCGTGAACTTAAAATAAAAGAAGCCCACAAGAAACATGCTTTGGATTGTGGTGCGGGCATAGGGCGTGTAACGAAAAATTTACTTATGCCTATGTTTGGAAAAGTCGATATGGTAGAACAGGATCCCACGTTTGCTGCAAAAGCTAAAGACTATTGTTCTGCAGATAGCGGCTGTACATTGGGCTATCCCAATCGTTTAGGTGAAATACACAATATGGGTTTGCAACAATTTGTGCCGCCAGCACAAAATACGATTTAGTCTGGTCTCAGTGGGTCTTGGGTCATCTAACCGATGATGATTTATTGGCCTTTTTCAGACGTATACACAAGGCCTTAAGACCGGAGGGACATTTTGTACTTAAAGAGAATGTAACGAAATCAAAAGAAGTGGTTAAGGATGAGACAGATTCTTCGGTAACACTTCCCCTTAAAGCTTATGAAATGCTATTGAAACAAGCTGGCTTCCGCATTGTAAAAATGAGCCAACAGAAAAGTTTTCCCAAAGGTCTATTTCCAGTCTATATGATAGCGTGTCGACCAGTGGCGGTGCAATAAGTTGGTGCCTTCTTTTTTAGTTAGTATTAAATTTGCTGTGTAGTAGACGTTTGTAATGCATTACAAAATAATTACCTAGTTAACAGAAAATGATAATAAAATCATATGAAATACAAAAAGTCTTTTATTCTATTTGAATTGTGAAAAATATTGTTATCTGGTGAATATAACGGTTTCTGTTTGATACTTTTGTAAACATAAGACCTTTTTTAAATATGGTTAAAATTTTCCTTTTAAATTACTGAATTTTACTTAAATATATGTCGTAAATAGTTAAATTGACTTCGTACGTAGAGGCTTAGGTGGAAGGCACTGCATAAATAATATTTACAGAATCATTTAAATTCCTTTGGGGACCTAATGACAATAAAATTTTTAACTTTTACTTTCCTATCGTTTATATAATGCAACATATAATAAATCGTTTGAAAGCTAATGTAGATTTTTCCAATTAAGAGTATAATAGTAAAATTATATTTAAAATTATCAAATACCATGATGTTAATAAGATTTGTTATTTTATTCATGAATTAATTCACATAATCGGAAAAATATGTATAAAACTAAAAACTAAAAAGGAGTCATTCGAAAAAGCGCTATTATATATAAAAAGATTTTCAAAATTTTATATTTTCAAATTCTTTTAAATTCTACTATGAAGAGCTCGTTTTCTCTCCTCTACATATTTTAAATCTGGCATCACTTTTTATCTAAATGACAGTCAGCTGTCAGTGTAGAGAAAGAAAGCATTTTGTTTGTTTCTTTTGTTTTTATTTCTATTCAGTGTTAAACGTTGTGTGAAAAATTTTATTTTATTTAAAAATATAAAAAAATTATGGTGAATTAGTGAATAAATTAATAAAAAAATGGATGAATTACAAAAATTAGAACATTTATCTTTGGTCTCCAAGTTGTGTACAGAACTGGACAATCACTTGGGTATCAATGACAAAGATTTGGCAGAATTCATAGTGGAATTGGAAGCGAAAAATCCCACGTTTGAGGAATTTCGCAAGGCCCTTATAGAAAATGGAGCAGAATTTCCAGATTCTTTAATTTCCAATCTGCAGCGTATTATAAAATTAATGAAACCTTCGGCGGATGGAAAACAAACAAAATCTTTCGATGATCCCAGCAGTGGAGGCGCAGGCAACAAATTATCAAGTAAAACGGAACATTTGGCCATGATGTTTCCCGGCTTGGCATTGGCTAATGATAAATTTAGCGCAGTAGATGCTCCTTATGACAGTTCAGCTTCGGATGAGGAAAATGACCGTGAGCCGGATGATAAGAAAGAGAAAAAAGTAGTAAAAGAGAAAATACATATGGAAGAATTGGAGGCGGTAGATGCAGCCATGCTAGAGCTGGAAGCCTTAGCACCCGGTATGGAAACAAAATCCACAAAAAGTGAAAGGAGTGATAGAAAGAAAGCCGAAAGAAGATCACGCTCAAGATCTAGATCTCGTGAGAGACACAGGGGCGGCAGTGAGCGTGAACGCAAAAGGGATAAAAGTCGTGAACGTCATAGAGATAAGGAGGCCGCACGCAGTAGTGGCAAAGATCGTTATAGAGATAAAGAACGAGATAGACGTTCAAGATCACGTTCTCGTGACCGTCAAAGACGTTCCCGTTCACGCGACGCTGCCCGTAGACATAGACGTTCTAGATCACGTTCTAGAGAAAGACAAAATGAACGCAAAAAACGTTCCAGATCCAGAGAACGCACTCGACGTTCACGTTCTAGATCCCGAGATAGATCTAGACGTTCTCGATCCCGTTCAAAAGAACGTTCTAGCCGTAAACGTAGATCCGGTTCTCATGAAACTAAGATGCGTGAGAAAATGCCACCACCAGCGGTCATGGCAGATGATCCTGAGCCGGGTAAAATATATTCGGGAAAGGTTGCAAATATTGTGCCTTTTGGCTGTTTTGTGCAACTTTTTGGTCTGCGCAAACGTTGGGAGGGTTTAGTGCATATTTCACAGCTGCGTTCCGAGGGACGTGTTACCGATGTTACGGAGGTGGTGAATCGGAATTCAAATGTCAAGGTAAAAGTCATGTCAGTTACCGGACAAAAAGTCTCACTATCAATGAAGGAAGTTGATCAAGATACGGGCCAGGATTTGAACCCTCTTAGTCATGCGCCTCCACCAGACAGTGAACTTAAAGATCGCAACCCCGATAGACCATTTGGTGGAGGAACTTCTCTGCTAAATCTACAAGGTGGCGGTGATAATGATGAAGATGATTCGCGTAAACGTGTCACACGCATTTCCAGTCCGGAACGTTGGGAAATTAAGCAAATGATCAGTTCGGGTGTATTGGATCGCAGTGAGTTGCCCGATTTCGATGAAGAATCTGGTCTTTTGGCCAAGGACGAAGACGATGAGGAGGATATAGAAATTGAAATTGTAGAAGAAGAACCTCCTTTCCTGGCAGGTCATGGCAGAGCTTTGCATGACTTATCGCCGGTACGTATAGTTAAAAATCCCGATGGTTCATTGGCACAAGCCGCCATGATGCAATCGGCTCTTTCAAAAGAGCGTAGGGAGCAGAAAATGTTGCAGAGGGAACAAGATATGGATGCGGTACCCACGGGTCTTAGTAAAAATTGGATAGATCCCTTACCGGATGAAGATTCTAGCCGCACTTTGGCCGCTAATGTCCGAGGCATGGGTTCGGCTCCCATGGAGGTGCCCGAGTGGAAAAAACATGTTATTGGTGGCAAAAAGTCTTCATTTGGCAAGAAAACCGATATGTCTCTAGTCGAGCAACGTCAATCTTTGCCAATCTACAAGCTAAGAGATGATTTGATTAAGGCCGTTACCGATAATCAAATTCTAATTGTTATTGGTGAAACAGGTTCGGGTAAGACAACTCAAATTACCCAATACTTGGCGGAGTGTGGTTTTACTGCACGTGGCAAGATAGGCTGTACCCAACCTAGGCGTGTTGCTGCTATGTCAGTAGCCAAGAGAGTGGCAGAAGAATTCGGTTGTCGTTTGGGCCAGGAGGTAGGCTACACTATACGTTTTGAGGATTGTACCAGTCCAGAGACGTCCATAAAATACATGACAGACGGTATGTTGTTAAGAGAATGTCTCATAGAGGCTGAACTGAAAGGCTACTCCGTCATTATGTTGGATGAGGCTCATGAACGTACCATTCACACTGATGTTTTATTTGGTCTGCTGAAAACCGCCGTACAAAAACGGCCAGAATTAAAACTCATTGTCACCTCGGCCACTTTGGATGCCGTGAAATTTTCACAATACTTCTTTGAAGCACCCATTTTCACCATACCCGGTCGCACATTCCCCGTAGAGGTGTTGTATACTAAAGAACCGGAAACTGATTACTTAGATGCCTCCTTGATTACCGTCATGCAGATACATTTGAGAGAACCACCCGGTGATATTTTGCTTTTCTTGACCGGTCAAGAGGAAATTGATACGGCTTGTGAAATTTTATACGAACGTATGAAAAGTTTGGGACCAGATGTACCGGAGTTAATTATATTGCCCGTATATTCTGCTCTACCCTCGGAAATGCAAACCAGAATTTTTGATCCAGCACCACCGGGCAGTCGTAAAGTCGTAATAGCTACAAATATTGCAGAAACTTCGCTGACAATTGATGGTATTTTCTATGTGGTGGATCCCGGATTTGTAAAACAAAAGGTGTATAACTCTAAAACTGGCATGGATTCTTTGGTGGTAACGCCCATTTCGCAGGTATGTTGGTATAATCTTGACTATAGACCAAAATACTTAAATGTTTTTTTCCCTTATTTCAGGCTGCTGCTAAACAACGTGCTGGACGCGCTGGTCGTACAGGTCCCGGAAAATGTTATCGTCTTTATACGGAAAGAGCTTATCGTGATGAAATGTTGCCAACACCAGTTCCGGAAATACAACGTACCAATTTAGCCACCACTGTATTGCAGTTGAAGACAATGGGTATTAATGATTTGTTGCATTTCGATTTCATGGATGCCCCTCCTGTAGAATCTTTAGTAATGGCTTTAGAACAATTGCATTCCCTATCGGCCTTAGATGATGAGGGCCTCTTAACACGTCTGGGACGGCGAATGGCTGAATTTCCCTTGGAACCCAATCTCTCAAAAATGCTCATCATGTCGGTGGCTCTACAATGTTCGGATGAAATTTTAACTGTGGTTTCCATGTTGAGTGTGCAAAATGTTTTCTATAGACCCAAAGATAAACAGGCCTTGGCCGATCAGAAAAAAGCCAAATTTAATCAAATCGAGGGAGATCATTTGACTCTGCTGGCCGTCTATAACAGTTGGAAAAATAATAAATTCTCTAATGCCTGGTGTTATGAGAACTTTGTGCAGATTAGAACGCTCAAACGCTCACAGGATGTACGCAAACAATTGCTAGGCATTATGGACAGACATAAATTGGATGTGGTTTCAGCCGGTAAAAATTCGGTACGCATACAGAAAGCCATTTGTTCGGGTTTCTTTCGCAATGCAGCCAAAAAAGATCCTCAAGAGGGTTATCGTACTCTGGTCGATTCTCAAGTGGTGTATATACATCCCTCTTCAGCTCTTTTTAATCGTCAACCCGAATGGGTTATTTACCATGAACTGGTACAGACGACCAAGGAATATATGCGTGAAGTAACAACTTGTGATCCCAAATGGTTGGTTGAATTTGCTCCCTCCTTCTTTAGATTCTCAGATCCAACGAAATTGAGTAAATTTAAGAAGAATCAACGTTTGGAACCACTCTATAATAAATATGAAGAACCCAATGCCTGGCGTATATCGAGGGTGCGTCGTAGAAGGAATTAAGTTAATGAAAAGGGATAAAGAATACATTAATTATAAATATGTATGTTTAGTTCTTTTTTTAATATTTCGTAAATATATCTAACTACTCTTAAATAAACGTTTAAAATTATATCAAGTTTTGATCCCCAAATATGTGATGTTTTGAAATTAATTAAAAAAAAATCTCGGAGACTATAGTCTGGGCAGTTTAGCGTTCAGTTTAGACTATAGATCAATATGTGGCATTTACTATCAGCTTATAGTCTTGGGCTGTAGATTAGTTTTTATTTGGACTATAGATCTGTCTAATCTTAA